CTTCAATTTCAGGTCATTCCTTGGAAGACATTGTGTCCAGGCTATCCAGCTTAAGCAGGTCACGGGACCATGAGAGAAGGACTTCTTGCGAGAAACAGATAATAATTTCATTTCTTTTATTCAAGAGAAAGTTTGCAAAGACCAATGCTTACTAGAAATATGATTTGAGTAGAATCAGTTGCATTACTAAAAAAAATATCATTGAATACTGTATTAAACTACCTATAAGAAAGTCATTTATCTTGTCACTTATAAAAAGTGGTAGTGTCAGCATCATCATTTGTCTTTTTCTTCAGTTTTGTACACTTTTTTATCAAACTTTTTGTGTAAACTTCAGGATGATTTTTTTAATGTGACTGGTTGTGTTTTATGTTCTGGCATCAAATTTAGTTTTCCCGTTCAACACTAACTTCTTGTCTTTTCCCAACAGAGTCATCCCTGGATGGAAGTCCTCTACCTGAAGGAAGGATGTCTCCTGCCTTAAAACTACCTGAAGGATGTCTCCTGTTTTAAGACTACCTGAAGGAAGGATGTCTCCTTCCTTATTGACTACTTACTGGCACAGGGTACTCACCGCCACCCTGCTTTCGGTGGTGGACAGAGAGTGGCGCCCCTGCCCATTGAGGAGCTGCAGAGCTTAGTACTTATTCTAGGCCTGCACTTTCTTTTCCCAGGACTTGTTGTTTCTTTGTATCCACAGCCAGAAACTTCTCGACTTCTCGACTTCCTCTGCCATGCTCCTTGCTTCTTGCACAGCATGTCGGTCTCTGCACAGTCAACAAAGACGTCCCTGCAAAGCCTGACTACACCCAAGCTCCACAGGGCTCCACTCCCTAAAGCACAGTCCTGGGCTAGGTCCTACGCTTGGACTGTTGAAGGCTGCTGGCTTTCTCTCTTTCTCTCCGACTTCTCAACTCTCCTGTGTTTGCTTATTGTTTGTTTATTTTTTGTGTGTTTTGTGTGTTTCCTCTTTTGGACATCTAGAACTCCGAATCTTTCACTGCAGAAGGCATAAAGCAAGTTGCCAAACTCGTTCAACTTCCTCTCTACATCTCCCTTTAAGCCTTGCTCTAGGACGTTACTGAGGTCGTTGTCTAACTCCTCACATGCTTCCTTGTTCGCTCTAGGCCACTTAATCTTCTCTTTTCTCCCTGGGTCTAGTTCCTTCACACTTGAATTCCCCTAGCTCCTTTCGACAAGCACAATGAACAGTGGACCACGGCTTAACATCCCGTCCGAAGGACTACGACCCTAAACAATAGCGTGCATGTCGGGCAGCTGATGCGGGTGAGCGACAACAGCCGGGATTCGAACTCCCAACCTCTTAGTCCAGAAGCAGGATCACTATCCACTGGACTACGCCAGTCTGTTTCCTGCCGACAACTACCCTCCTTCGTAGTTGTCACTGGATGATCCAGGGTGATAAAAGATAGTCAGGAGTAAAAGAAGATGATTTATTTGCTGGACAAATTACAGATCAGCATGTTTTCCTTTTCTTATACCCTGCTAGCTATGTTGCTGTTGTCTTTGTTTAACATCTATTATCTCGCTAGATGTGGTCTCTTGGTGAATTACAATTTTAGATTCAAACCAACAACCTAAAGTACAGGTTTCTAACTTCCAAATTTTATTTCAGCATGACTCTAGGTTCTGTAGTACAGATTAAACTAACAATCCTTTGCCTTTCAGTACATTCTTGCAGTAAAGCGCACTTTGCTGCCGCTTAGAGTAAGAATAATACTGACTTTTCTTTCATCTCTCTTAGTGCCCAACCTTTCAATGCTTGGAACTTCTTGTAAACAATCCTAAATTCTTTCACATTCCTTCAAATGCAAGAGCTACCAGGTATAGCTATACTATAGGTATGTTTGCGGTGGCAGCAGTGACCACAAAAACCGTGAATATAAAAGTACCGCGAAAAAAACATGATTTACTGTACTTGGAAGGGGGTGTTTAAGAGCCAAATCCATATCACATGCCATAACCATGTGTCCGTACAACATCCCAGAGGTCAAAACCATACAGATGGGGTAACTTACTTAGGAAGCAAGAGTTACCAGGAATTCAGCACCGAGGACAGGAACAACATTGTCCCATCTCACACAGGTCTAAACTATCTTGAAGAGTCATATCCGAATCGTGTACTGTATTCTTGTCCTGCAATGTGTTAGGGCTGAGCTGTAGAGATGGGGTGGATGGGTGATCAGATGTATTACTGCAATGTCAGGTTTAGTTAGTCTCTGATCCTTTCGGCAGTGGGGTTTGTGTGTTGGAGTGTGACGCCACTAGTCTGATATGACGCGCCTAAGATGGGCACCCAAATTATTTATATGCCTTGTGTACATCCCATGGTAGCTGGCACTACATCTAGGGGGGAAGGGGTGGTAAAATCTCCAAGTAGATCTTTGGGTGGCTGCAAAGACTGTATCAAATTGACCAGGCTGTATCCATTGACTAGACGGTATCCAATATGCCAATTGGGTGGCGTGTTGGAGACTGTCTGGAAAATGGATACGGCCTGGCCTATTTGATATATGTCTTGCAGGCACTCAACATCTGCTTGGAGATTAGTGTATTGGGGGGAGGGTATACTGTATATTACATGTGCCAGTGCCCCCTTCCCCATTGGGGGCTTAAATACCATAGGGATTGGCGAGGGGAACGCCAAGAGCATATAGCTACTTATTAAGCTAGCTCCGAGGCATGGTGGCTTCCGAGACAGTTTGGCTCCAGTCACGGATCACACCGTCTTTTGCAGGTATGGTCATGGGAGAGCCGGTGGGGTTAGTGTACCCCTATCCCCTTCCCTCTCGCGGCCTCTGCTTAAGACCCACACACAGAAAGGGGATACTAGTTAAGGAACCCAGCTTTGAAGGGTTTCCGATCTCGATGTGCAGTGATACATCTGATCACCCATCCACCCTATCTCTACAGCTCAGACCATGACACACTGTAGGACAAGACTGCGGTACGCAATTCGGATTTGACTCTTCAACATGGTTTGGCCCTGTGTGAGACGGGACAATGTTGCTCCTGTCCTTTGTGCTGAATTCCTGGTAACTCTTGCTTCCTAAGTAAGTTACCCCATCTGTATGGTTTTGACCACTGGGATGTTGTAGGGACACATGGTTATGGCATGTGATTTAGATTTGGCTCTTTAACACCCCCTTTCCAAGTAAAGTAAATCATGTTTTTTTTGCGTTACTTTTATATTCACGGTTTTTGTGGTCCCTTATCATTATCGTGAACAAATAATTTGCGAACTTTCTCTTTGCTGCACCTACTGCTATACATACCTATACATGTAGCTCTGCGAACATGTCCATTTTTCGCAGACAACAATCCTTTGCTACCTTCTACCACTAACCACTAACCTTTGCTACCACTAACCACTAACATAGAGCGAGTTACTGTATGTTATAGGACTGCATTTAATCTTTCTTTAGATGGTGAATGCCTTTATCTTGTTTTCCGGCACCACAATTAACCTTACTGATTAGCACCAAGAGACCATGCCTAGCTAGAAAATAGACTTTAAGCTAAGCGACAACAACAACTTTGTATGCACTAGTATATTGTTGGAATTTACTCTTGACATTCTTGTTTCTTTCCACGCCCACTGGATGAGACAAACTGAAGGCATGGAAGGCAGTTCAGCTTTCGACAATTTACTGAATTTATTTGAAATTCTCTCTCCATTGACTAATATTCTTGGAGTAATTCTATTTGGTATACTTATATAACACAGTGCGAGTCACTGCTCCTTGGCTTTTTCAGCTGTTTCCTTCTGTCCTCGTGGGTTTCGCCCCCTATAGCAGGACCCACTCAGGAAGGCGGGGCAGCAGTGCGGGCCAAACACTTCTAGCCAAGGTTCTTCAGATTCCACTCTCCATCTGTGCTCCTGACCCAGAGCCATCGGGATGCTCTCTCTGCCTCCTCTGTGACTCTCTTTGTGTATCTATTGAAATTATAACAGTGCAATACACGTGGGACACAGGCAGCTGTTGCTGGTGTTGTGTCCCACACATAAAAACGAATACTGGACAGACAGTACTCATTTTCACTTGAGTCTAGTGGGGAAAGTCGTGTAAAGTACCTTTCCCAAGGGCACAAGACCGGTGGCATGTCAGGACTCGAACCCGGGACCTCTTGGTTCCAAGTCGACGCACGCTGCCGTTGCGCCACACGACCCCACTCTTTGTCTCTTTGTCGCTTCCCTCCTTCTTCTCCCCTTCACTCCTACCACTCCTGGCATCCTCCATGATGACTGGCAGATGAAGCCTCTCGTTCCCATCTCCACGGGGAAGCACATCGCTCTCCATCCCTTGCAATTGACTTTACATGACTGCACCAGCACTTGGTACTTCAGTGCTTTCCTCTCATGTGCTTCTTCTACTCTTCTACACAGTTTTGGCTACATGTTGACTTTTCTATTCTTTTTTGCTAATAGATGGAAGAACAAAAGATTAAAATGCACCAGCTCTTGGTACTTCAGTGCTTTGATCCTCCCATGTGCTTCTTCTACTCTTCTACACAGTTTTGGCTACATGATGACTTTTCTATTCTTTCTTGCTAATAGATGGAAGAACAAAAGATTAAAATGCACCAGCTCTTGTGTGCAACTCACCAGTGCTTTCCTCTCTTATGTGCTTCTTCTACTCTTCTACACATGTACAGTTTTGGCTACATGATGATTCTGCTATTATTTCTTTCTTAGTAGATGGTGCAAGAATAAAAGACTAAAATTCTCTCTCCATGACATATTCTATGGAGTAATTCTATTTGGCACTTGGTTTTGGCCACACGACATTCTTCCTGACATGGCCAGCAACAACCTCTACAAGTTACTACTGTAGTATGTTAACTTGTACTTTTCAAGTCTTGGGTTACACTAGGTTCAAGTAAGTCTTTATAACATTTGTTGCGGCTTTGAGATAGAACTCCTAACTGTGTAACAGAGATTTTGGCTTAATCTTTATTTATTTAGGAACATCGATGTTAGACAATAAAAGGTAGGATTTAAAAAAATCTGGCTGCTTGGGTTATGGAACATTCCAATACGATCAACTAAATTTACCTTCACAGTTCCTTGGCCAAGTGACACTCAAGACTTTGAAAGTGAAAGTTTCCTTGTTCGGTTGGTTCTTAAGGTGGAGGATGTTGAAGGTCGTGGTAGGAAGACGTCTTGAAATTTCCTCGGCGATGGAGGCAGACCTTGACGTGGTGCCGGGGCTTTTCCTAACATGTCTCCCCTAAATTTTGGTCAGCTGAGTCATAAACATTACTAGTATCTGACACTTTACTAGCCTCTATCAGGCTTCAGGAGGCAGCTGGAAAGAGTAGAAATTGGACAAATAGAGAGATATAACATGCCGGGGGAGTTGGTCCGCTAGAGAGTACTATTTTAGCCTATTTTTCGTATTTTCGATGGATCATTTTCGAATTCCCTGAGTATACGCATGTTTTTGAATGATAGATAGTGAAAAGTATTCTAGATAGTGTAATTTGTAAGCCACGCGGCCTATTGCTAAGGAAATAAGAAACATTTAGAGTTTGTCAATAATAAAAGTTAACGTCATTTGGCGAAGGAATGGAATCGTGGAACTCTAGTTTGTTATATGGAATCGACAGCAGACGAATCAGTATTATTTACTATTAAAGAAATCGTGGATAGTTGTCTTGGTAGACATCGCCTCCTAGCGAAAGTAGGGCATTACTACAACCTCTTCAAAACTCGACGGCTGGTTTTCCCGGATGGGAGAAGTGTTGACTGTAAAAAAAAAAGAGAAGAAAAGTCACATTTCTATTAAAAGGCAGCAAGACGAACCTTTCTCGGTTATACTAGATGAAATGTGCAATTATGCAGATATTGATAATAACATAGACCTGTAATATCTATTTGCAAACTCATGGGATGCTGAAATGCTGATTGTCCACCACAATTTATAATACTAGTTACAGTTCAACCAATGGGAGAATAGCATTCAGCAGCTCGACCAATGGGGGATTGGTTAGATGTCCGTCAAATACGACCAACAATGAGACATCGCTGGCGTGAAAAAACACGTGATTTTATTATTTGGTCCACGTGATCATAGCAATTGGTTTAGGTAATCATAGCAATTGGTCCACGTGATTATAGCATTTGAACCACGTGATCATATCAATTGGTCTACGTGATCATAGCATGTGATCCACACGTGATCATAACAACTGGTCCACGTCGGATCATTTAGGCCGGAAAGCTGAGTGATTTGGTCGAAAATGCCGGTAAACTTTTTTTTAGTTTAAAATTTTTCATGACATCTTCATGGCGTATAACTAAGAAAACCTAAGAGGACAAAGATATTACTATCTCCAGCTGTCCTTTGCTGTCAAGCCGATGGGTGTGGATCATTTCGTCATCTCCTTTCCTCACCCGCGTCAGATATCGACCATACTCATCCTTCTCTAGTGACATCTGTAGTAACAACGTGTGTCAGTATGGCATAAATATTAGATCAACGTTGACATGTTTTCAATTTTGTAATGATACCGTATATAACTTATGTAGCATTAGGACGATTCATATGGAATACTACACGGTGTATTCTGTATTCTATTCAGAGCAGACCATATGCGAAGGTAAACATAATGCATTTGCTTTGCAAATGTTACCTTTCTAGTTTAGTCTTAATTTCATAATATTTTACCTGCAAGAGGCCAACACCATTTACGAAGACATTTGTTGGTTGTCCAAGAGTAAGGGTCCACTGAGTGGGCGGTGCGGAGTGCGACCTGTACGTCATTTGGTCTCCGTTGAAGGTGTATTCTTCTATAGCGCTAATTTTGAACAGCGTCGCCATCTTACGGGGGAACCACGCCAGACCTGGTGCATCAGTAAATAAAGATGTTATTGCAAAACAATTGTAACAGGTACAATGTATGCAAGTTCTTGATAAGTACTACAGTAACTATCGAACTAATATCAACGATATTACCTACAGCAATGCTAAGGAGTTGTCTATATAAACTCAAGTCTAAACACTACTGCGCTACTTTAATATATTGCTACAATATATACGGAGCAGGACAAAGTATTGGTGTTCTATGTAACTTAATACGCTAATTCATATATGTGATACAATGTCATAAATATTTATGAAAAACAGCTTTCGTGACAAATAATGTTTACCTTCACATGGTCTTACTTAACAAACTACTGTTCTGTAGACTTCTGTTTTATCCAATGGCATTCATACTGACCGACCCCCAACTCCCCCCTACTACAAAATGTAGCTTTTATTCTAAATTTATAAAAAAAAGGGAGATTGTGAACTCCCAAGAACCATTTTAGGGCTTCGTGTTCTTCAAAATCACACCATTCCCTGCGTCTGACCTTTTGGCCTCTGGTTATTCTAGCTGTAAATTTTGTAAAAACGTTTATAAACATTCAAATGTGGACCACGGAGGTTCGTCAATGGTTGTCTGGGGTTCGGGAGTAAGTCAGCAGTGTTCGGGGCGTGTTCGTGGGTCAAATTTGACTCAAACTGAACGCAAATTTGATTCAATTCGCATAGAAAGGTAGGCATGAGCTAAATTTCGTCACAATGCTCCCAAACAATGGTCGCGCCTTGGGGAAGAAGGTTACCGGAATGACTGAGGCTTAACTCACCGTATGCACGAAGTCCTCGTAGTTTTCGTTCTGGGAGTGGTCCTGCCTCCAACTACCAGCGATCTGGGCAGCATCCTTCTCCATATCTAACGTTTCTTTACTCGAAAATAGCTACAGCCCAAAGCAATAGCCGCCGTACACAGTTATATAATGGGTGACCCCAAGGGTCTATGACGCGGTAATACAAAGTAGTACGGACGATATGGGTCTTATATGGGTAGTCAGGTGTATACTGCAACTGTGTGGTATAAGATATATCAGGTTTGAGACTGTATGTGGGATTGGAATTTGAAGTTTTCTCCAGTTCTACTCCGAAATGACTACAGCCCAAAGCGTTAGCCCCACTAAGTGAACTGAGGCTTGTTTTTGAAATACCCAAGTGGCTTAGTTACGCTTATTAGTCATCCATTGTTTACTCATGTGATCCTGTTGTCATCAGGTGTTTTGGTGTAGGTTGTCTGACTACGTACTCATACATGGCGTTATCTCGATCAGTTAATAGGCCATGTTGATTTGATGATATGGATGACATCCGCGCGCGCATGAATTTCCGTCAGTGTAAAAAATGTTTTCGGCCATACTGTGAATCAAACAAAATGAGCGAATATATGTCATATATTGCAAAAAAAAAAGCATGAACGAACGATAATAATAGGATGCCGAAATCAATTTGGGAAAAGAAGATATATGTAAAGAAATGAAAATCTTTTATCATTATTTGTCATACCATACTCTGTGTGTTTAGTCATTTTTCCAACCTTTATGACCAAGTATATTTCATAATAAAGGTTACTTTGTTTATTCTTCGCACGCTCGCGTCAGTTTTGGGGTTCCCAGGGGATGTCACCCATACAATCAAATCAACATGGCCTCATTGTCGTCTGTACTCTGATTCTTACAAGTTTCACTATTATCAATGACTAGAACTTAGAAGGTTACGGGCAGCATTGTTGTCAGCACGCTACGTAACCAGGGGTTGTTTACCAGGCTTAGACTCATATCAATACAGGGTTCGAAATACCCGGGTTGCGACACACTTGGGTCGGGAGGTATATATAACAACAGAGCGTTCGGCTCGGAACCAAAAGGTCCCGAGTTCGATTCCTGCTATGCAACCGTGCCCATGGGAAAGGCACTTAGCTGAAAATGAGTATGTTTTCCGGATATCCGTTCATGCGATTGTCAGCGTTGTTGGCGGCATAAAAACAAGTTGAAAAATCTTTGAGTGTAAATGTTGGAATAGAAAAAAAAAGAACAACATGGGTTTTCAAAGTAAGATCCGCTTGCGACTACAACAGTTTTTTAAAAGAAATGTATATAGATATTATATTCTTATATGTTTAGTTTATATGTATGAATGTATTATGTTGATACGGGCCAATATGTCTGAAATAAACAAATTCAGGGTAGAACTCAGAAGAAAGACAACGTACTAAATCGCCAAACAAGCAAAATTTAATGCACGGACATTGACAATTAACACATGACGACAGCTCTAGCTGGGAATGTATGGTGTTTGAAAAGCAATTTGTGGTTGACTCCATTGTGTATCTACGTAACTACGAGTTATTTAACATATTGCTAGTTTCGTTCCATACGTGGGAATGTGACGTTTCCTTTAAAAGCAACAACAACAATAATTGCACACATTTTCATTCGCCAATGTTTTGCAGATGCAAGTTGCTGTAAAGCTATGTGGGCCCTTACTACTGTTACGGATTGGTAGTTGCAAAACAGTATTTGTTTTTTTTAAACATTGTTAAAATATAACACGTTTCATGCCATTTCAACTCAATTTAGCCCTACAGTTAGTGAAAATGACGCTAGGTGGCGTGCCCAGGCAGTGAAACAGAAAATGCTCTCTTGGTGATATGACCAGGCCTTGGTTGCTCGATGTGCAGCATTTCGTCGCCCAGAAGGCGGGTGGTCCCTTTACTTGCCCTTCTTGTAGTGCCGCTTGCAAACCACGTCACCTGCGGTACAGGTCTGCAAAACAAAACAAAAAACCTGCGTTTACGGAATGAACCGCTAGGTGGAATATTTGGGAGAACGAAGCAGAAACATGTGATTTCGAGGGAGATTCTCTGGGACATGGGGGGGGGTCTGTGTTGGCCGCCTCGTTCGCTGCGCTCACTCGGTGGCTTTATTCGGTGGTTATAGAAACTGACAAGGCTTTAATCACACCATATTCACCTCGGGCGGGTCAATAACCCTTGATTGAGAAACGGTATATCGTTACCACTGTAACGTTACAAACCACATGTTCCATGTTAAAAAGAACAAAAAATTAATTCTCTATTTGTTGTCATATTCGACCCATATTAGGTCAATTAATTTTAAGCATAAAATGCCCCCAAACCTTATAACACACAGTTTAATATCAACAGAATACATTCCTGCGCTATGCAATCTGGGAGATTTTACCCCCAGTCGCAATGCATCATGGGAATAGGGAAATGGTGAATAAGGTATCAGTGAATCTCCCCTACCAACAGCAGTGCGTCGTCCCCCTGCAGCTCCCTGATGTACAGCACATCGCCGATAGGGGGCCCTCTTTTCTGCGTCACCACCAACTTGTCTCCGTCCCATGTAGCAACGGACTGCAAACATGGCAAGAGAACTTCTTTGCATGAAATGACAAAAATTGTGAAACTTCCTAACATTTCATAACTTTTGATCGAACAAGTTTATCGAGTTTAAATAAAGGCTTACTACTACTACTACTACTACTACTACTACTACTACTACTACTATTACTACTACTACTACTACAACTATTGCTACTACTGCTGCTACTATTACTACTACTATTACTACTACTACTACTACTACTACTATTGCTACTACTACTGCTACTACTATTACTACTACTACTACTACTACTACTACTACTACTATTACTACTACTACTACTATTACTACTACTACTACTACTACTACTATTGCTACTACTGCTACTACTATTATATTACTACTACTACTACTACTACTACTACTACTATTACTACTACTACTTCTACTACTACTACTACTACTACTGTTCGGACGCCATTTTGTGTGACCTTGGACTCACCTTGACTTCCTTGTCGTCTGCGGTCTTCTCGTCGAATTCCTGCCCGATGTCGAACTCCACCGCGGTGTTCTTGAAGGTGGTGGACGTCTTGATGACGAAATGGTCGCCCGTCTGTGTGATCTCAGTGGTCGGCTTGGCCAGCGCACCCATCTTACGAAGGGCCATGTTCACCTCTGTGAAAAAGAAAGAAGTACAAAAACTTACAAGTTATTCAAATCAGGACCGAATTTGCATGATCTATAAGTATTTGCTACAATAGGCTTCTCATTAGGTGTAATAATACCCAAGAAAAACATGCAATATGTTAGCATTGGCAAAATTGAAATTTAGCATAGCTAATATGGATTAAGTGTAAGCTTACTAGTATGTAATAGTTCATGTACTCGTATCTACCCTTGTTGTTTTAATTTGTATCAAAGACACCCAATGTGTTCTGGATGAGGAAATCTGTCCGATATTTACATTTACTGCCATTTGTTAACCATATTTGATACCTGAAGCGTTAGAAAAAGTACTAAAAGCTATGTGAGGAGTCGCTTTATTTTTGGTACCACCAATAAATAGCTAGAACCAGCTTACGATACGAAAAACGCTACCGTTTTCCTTCAGCAAAATCACATTTTTTTCGCCGCAAATATCAGTATGCTATATGGGATAGGATTGATTCAACTTGATACGTTAAAAAATGACCAGAAAGTTGACTTAAAAAATCCTGTTCAACTGTCCTGAATTTGTATTGGATGCCTTTAAATCTTCGAATTTTACATGAAAGGTCCTCTTTAAAGTTTCTCTGAACACTAAAGCTCTGTTTATATTATATGACACATCATTCTTCACCACTTCCAGCTTGTCGTTACGGATTATGTCAGGCAGGCGTAGAAAAGACTCTCCAACTGTGAGTACGACTGGAGGTCATGACCCCATGACCCCATAGCGCCCACGCCTGCATGCTAATGAGGCACGGTTGGCAATGATCGTCAGACGAAAGGAAGTTGTTGTCGGCTCGATCTGTTTGGACATATGTCATTCGAGCAGTGGAGGGGAGAGCACATAAAACCTGTTTGAAACGTTTTTGAAATACAGAATTAAAGTCTAGTTTTTCAAGTACTAGGTTTTTTTTCTAGCAACATTTATAGACTTTTAATTGTATTTCCAAGGAAGTTATTATAAAATGTCTACAGTGTTTTAAAGAAATTTTATAATACCTTCATTGGAAATACAAAAATGGTCTATAAATGTTGCTAGAAAAACCTACTTGAAAAACTAGACTTTGAAATACAGAATTAATTTTGCCAAAGCTAACCTATTGCATGTTTTTCTTGAGAGAGTATTATAAATTACACTCTATAATTCAGGATGTATGTCAGTTATTTACAATACCGTGTCGCTTTTGTAGTGATTCAGATCTGAATTTTCCAACGTACACTGCTATCTGAGTAGGGCATGAAAGTAAATACATGCCAGCCACGTCCTAGGCTAGCTCTTCCACACATGTCAACCCATATTAACTACGCGACATTTTTTCCCGTGGATATCATGGGAAAATTCTCCTCTCACGCTTTCAACACAAATTCCTAGATCCAGGCGCTGACAGGCCCTCTGTAAGGCCATGTTGATTTCATTATATGGATGACATCCGCGCGCGCATGAATTTTCGGCCGTTTCCAAAAAAAAAAAAAGGTTTCAACCATACTGAAATCGTACAAAACAGTTGCAATGAGCAAAAAGTATACCATAAGTTACAAAAAAATTAACAAAAACTATACCAATGTCGTAGAATGCCAAAATCAAACGAAAAAAGACGAAATTGTAAAGAAATGAACTTGAAGACTAGATTATTCGCCAAACCATATTCTGTGCCATTTGCTCAACCCTCATGACCACGTAGATTTCATAATGAAAAGAACTTTTTTTTTGCAAAACTTTTTTTTTATTCGCACGCGCGCATCAGTTTTGGGGCTCCCGGAAGATGTCATCCATATAATCAAATCAACATGGCCTAATTCCTAGATCCAGGCGCTGACAGGCCCTCTGTAACGTCCTTCGCTAAGTCAGCAAAAACCCGGCATTATTCAAGCGCGAATTCTCAAACGGCGTGGCGAAAGGATTCGTCTCGGCGAGATGTTTGAGGGACAAATGAAGTACGTAATGGAAAACCAATATGGTGCCGGATTCAAGCGCCTGGCAACAGAACCACCCATCGTTTGTGCAGCTGTCAATCATTTTTCATCAATGATTGACAGTTTATTTTGTCGGTAGTCACTAGTTTCCACCAGGCTATCAATGCAGAATACAAAAACAGTAAATATTAGCGCCTGGCAACAGAACCACTCATGGTATGGGTAGCTGTCAATCATTTTTCATCAATGACTGACAGTTTATTTTGTCGGTAGTCACTAGTTTACACCAGGCTATCAATGAAGAATACAAAAACAGTAAATATTAGCCACCTAAACATCACACCCACAGACCATATAGTGCCAAAGAGTTTTAAAAAATTACTACTGCAGTACCAAGGTCGATCACCAGGTGCACAAAATCGACCTACATGTACACAATCCACATCGCTCTATTTGGACAGTTTCTACTCTTTCCAACCGCCTCCCGAAGCCTGGTAGAGGCTATCAAATATCATTCAGACCGAAAACAATACCGCTCAAGCATTTCACGGAAGTGATTAGCAAAAAGGAAGAATAGGTGGTCATCATAGAGTTTATTTGCTTCGGCGGACTGACTCTCCTGGCCATTTTTTCCCTTTTTGCCGAATTCTACAATCCGTACCCCCGTCGGGACGCCTTGTAGAGGCCAGGCTGGCACGGTTTCTGCTTATGTAATGCATTGTTTGTACCTGTAATGTTCTAACGAGGTGTGAAACAAAAACCGTTATCTTTTAAAATACAACCGACCCATTTGAATAGCCATAGGAGCAAAGGAATCCGCGGTTAATATTTAGACCACGTCTCTATACACCCAACGACTGATCCAGAACAGAGTAGACTAGTAATTGTATGCAAATCAGCGGGGAACAAAGACATTGTAATAAATCGCTGTGCGGGCTTGTCGCCATAAATTTGCCAAAAACAGCAATTGAGTTTTTTTTTTCTTTGAGAACTTGGCAACGTAATTGTCCTTGACAACTTGGCAACGACATCCCCTTGTGTACAATGGCCTACGCGGCCGGCTAAAGCAGTGAGGGTAGTTTTGAAGTGCCCTTGGGTCGTGGTAGCAGTCTGATATTCAGGCTGTATCACCTATGTTCCAATTGGATATTCTATTCTACCTTCTTGATCTGGTGTACTAGCTAGTTTTTACCTGGTCGGGTTGAACAACTAGCAATGCAGTTTCGCTGGTTGTCAATATCATAGGGTAATCATATTTTCTAGATTAAAGTATCATAGGGTTTGGTGAGTTTTGTAATGCATTAGGTGCTTCTGAAACATAACGTCGCCCCATACAACGCGAAATTGCCAAGTTTTTTTTTTCTCACACAGTTTGAAAGGCACATTTATCCAAAATAGAATGAGCTGTCGCAGACGTGGTTGTTTGATGATGATAACACCCGCATGTAACGGTAGATAAGGGTAACATAATTGCCTCATTAACACCGTTGTTAAGTTGTTTGCCCTGTAACTTGCATAATGATGTCCACATAGTACTAAGAAGCAAGAAAATCTTTAATACAATATACCAAGAAGATGGCTGAAATCTTCCTCCCTCCGTATTCAGTTTCCTTCGAATATTTCTTTTCTGATATTGATCATTTCTCAGCATTAAATTGTTCCTTGCTGTTCCAGTCAATATGGCAGACCCATAGCACACTAGGCTTATAGCCTAGTCTAGCGTGATTGGGGCAGGCTGTCTTCGGGGTTCAAATACTAGTAGTTTTCCCCAGTCCAGCCCAACAGACTGTCCGGTAGGAGTCCTGGTAGGAGTGTTACGCCTAGCTGTAGAAGTTTTGCACGCCAGGAGTTGATTACTAAGTAGCCCTACCAACTCCCGTCGTGCAAAACCTACCGGGGAACCTAGCTGAGTCGGGCGGGGAAGAGCATCTGCAGCCCCGAAGAGAACCCACCTAAACCACGATAGACTGGATACTGCCAGGCTATACTAGGCCCATGCAGATTTAAGTATGCGGGCCCAACTGAGGGGGGCTGGCATGGCCCTGGAGCAGGGGAGCTGGTCTGTGAAGGCCCTGGAAACACAGTCTGGCACCCAGGCTACACGGTTCCTCTTATTATATGTCCGCAGCCGACATCCATACACACTAGTATAAACACATCTGTTTTTAATCCATCATATCAAGACGGAAGTGTCACACGTCATGCGTTACTGACAGATGTGAGGTGTACATGTGGCCTACTGACTGTAGCGTGCGTAGTGGTTAGTGTCCCTGTCTCTGGACCAAGAGGTCGAGAGTTCGAATCCTGGCTGTTGTCGCTCGCTATTGGAAACCAGGAAAGTGTTCACTGTTCTTGTCGAAAAGAGGTATAAAGGACATTTCTCTGTAAAGTGAACTGTACAAAGCGCCTGTCTTCCCTGACACAACCAGCGAACGATTTAATAGCTCTTTGCGATGAAGAGATCACTTTACTGTATCAACAATGTTTAAAACAGACATACATGACAACACTGGGCGACATCTATCATGATGCTATGGTTGTGGTCAGGGGGTTGTGGTGATCAGTGTGTCATCTTTTCGCCAGCTGTGCCCAACTAGCCATGAATGATTCAAATCATCACACGTGTCGGCATTTCTCCCTTAATACGGACCCCTATGGCTTCATCATTCCATAGTAGCCTGGGTGCCAGACTGTTTCCAGGGCCTTCAAAGACCAGTTCCGTAGCCTGGGTGCCAGACTGCAGCTGTTTCACAGGCCAGTTCTTGTCATTTATTTCATCTTCTGTGTCAATGGTTTCAATGTTTTTGTATGCTAAGCTGCATTGAAAATAAATTTCTCAGGATTAAATGGGCCACCCGTAGCCAGCTGTATAGAAATTTAGTAAATAAAAAAAAATTGTAAAAAAAAAAAACGTAAATACTAGACAGATAACCCCTATGCAGACCCTCATTTCCACCAACTGTGTCCCGCACAGTAGTAGGTATATTCCAGCTGTGAAAACCTTGGTGTCTGTTTTTAATCCTAACCGTCTGCCCCCTGTAGTGTGATGTTACGGAACCGAACATTCCTCAGGCGACAGTGTCCTTCAACGCTACACGGTTCAAACTTCAGTTTGTTAACAGAAACCTCCTAAAATTCTATAAAAAATATTTAGCGGAGTGGCGTAACAAATACAGACGGTACGTAGGCTAGTGATTATTGTAAAAAAAATGCTAACACTTAACTAAATGAAACAATTTTCTTATGTATAGTTTAATGAAAAGGAGGGTGGATTTTTAAAAAAATCACGATGTTTTTTTTACAGTTTGTACGTATTATGTGAAGGCCGTAGGTTTGTACTCTCCAAGCAGAGGCTTGGATTTTGGCTTATTTTTTGGCGTGCTTTTGGGCTTTTTTTATCGGGGTTTCTTTCTTGCATTAGAGTTGGCGTAGCCTGGGTTCCAGACCCATAGCACACTGGACACAAATATCTCAGTGAGCCTGGCACACTGAGATATTTTGTGTCCAGTGTGCTTTGGGTCTGGCATCCAGGCTAGAGTTGGCGTGAAAAGTTCCAGTGCAAAAAAGAAACCCTGACAAAAAAAGGCTAAAACACGGCAAAAATAAGCCCAAACCCAAACCTCTGCTTGGAGAGTAGCCTCGTTACCAGACCCATAGCAAGCTAGGCCCAGAGTGTGGATCTGGGCCTAACTGAGCGGGGACTGTGGTGTAATTTTCTTGGGGACAAGTTGGCCCTGGTCTCGAGGAGCTGGCCTGTATGTACGCCCCGAAAACAGTCTGGAACCCAGGCTAACGTTTACAACATTCCTGGTACAGGCTGCCTCCGTGTTTGAAGAGGTTAGTCTACTAGTGCTTCAGACGAGACGAGGTCACACCCCAGCAAATCCGGGGACAGTTATGTGACCAAACACACGCAGTGTACGTGACAAATACTTCAGCTTGGCAGTCAGACCATTGTAGGCTCCCTGGTATCTATACGGTCCTGGGAGTGTTGTCCGTCCGCCTAAGCCTTTTAGAGCACACCGGGAGTTTTTACGAGGACGATTTCAATAACTAAGAATCGTCTATCAGAATGGCCCACTGGAAAGGTAGACCGTCAGAAAGAAAGCCTCATGGGGTCAGTATTAATAAATATCTCTTAAGTCGGTATATGCAGAATGGTTTCCAAGCAATACAAACATCACACAGTGTGACTTTGTGTCGTACGGTTTTCTGGTAGACTATATATCAAATGGTAGAACCAACCGTAGAAAAGGATCAACGGCGACCCTTTCTGTCGCAAGAATGTCGTACGACTCATTCACGACTATTTCAAGAATAATCTAAACTTACTACTGGTTTGTATGCCTGTCGTAAGACGCACATAAATTTTGCATTTTACAAGGGTTTGTCAGACTTCAAAAGTCTGTACCACGACAATGGCACGTTGTTCTTGAGTATGTAAACGTGTACACACAAATATAGACCCGATCTTACTATAATAGTAAATTGTTAGCCTGTCAATTGGCAGACAAGGAACATTGTTATCGACAGACTTGGCCAAATATACGACCCAAAACATGCTAACAACGCAAACATTCGGCCATACACTGATACAGAGTAGGTCTGTGTTTGAGAGAAAATTTGGAAAATAAGTCTTACCGAGTTTCTTCATGAATTCCTCGAAGTTTTCGCTGCTGTCCAGCTTCCATGTTCCCGAGAGATCGACCGGCATGTTGGAGTCGGTTTGTTCGGTGCAGGACGCGGGGGAGACCGAGGAAGGTACGCGGTGGCTACGACGGCTGGAGTCCGGAGTCGAAGTGGGGACGGCGGCGGTGTCGTGGCTAGAACGTGGGTGTAGAAAAGGGGGTGGGGCCGGGTGGAGGCTGGGAAGGGGGTGTGGTCGTGCTAGTGACCTCTGCCCTCAAGGGCACAGAAATAACGGTGCCGTGTCAGTAAAAACTAGGACGGCTGGGGCATGGGCTGTTCCACTTTACAAAACTGTGAGGGTGGGCACCTTTCCTTCTAAACCACTCATAATTTGTTGATAATCTACTTAAAATTCGTAAAACGTAGATAGAAATTTGTAAGTCCCGTTAAGAATTTAAAAGTACACATGTTCAATAAAGGTCAACGGCCCAATTTAAATAATAACTGTTTCCGATTCCCCTTTAAGAATTGGAAGATGGACTAGTCCAGTGTTTCTGGTCACACGGCCGTCACGCGCTCAACACATATGCAGGAAACGTGACTGCATTGCTGTATATCTGTTATATGTTACAGTCAGTCACCATTCATATAGCAAAGGCTTTACTATCAGACGCGTTGTCTCTTTGCTACCTTTGTCAGACTCAAGGATAGTCTCATCCAGCCTGATAATTTTGGGGAGGAAAATGAATAGTCTCGCGTAGGCTTCGTGAAGATGGCAGGACTAGTGTCACTAGTTTTTTAGTAGCCTCTATCAGGCCTCGGGAGGTGGCTGGAAAGAGTAGAATTTGTCCAAATAGGGAGAGATGACATTAGCCTGAGTGTCAACTTTGTAAGCTTTCGTCCGCTCCACAAGATCGGCGGCGGGGAGCGGATCTTGGGGAACGGATCCGGACGAAAACTAACAAGGCTGACACTCGAGATGACACGGTCAGGGGAGTTGGTTGCCGCACCCGAAGCCTGTGGGGTACTCAATGGAGTAGAGCCTAGCTTGTGCCACATTTTAGCGGTCATAACCCTACGTAGTCATCTGCGAAAGAGGCTGGGAGCAAGGCTATATATGACATTAGCCTATTTTGTGAGGTCGGGGTAGTAATACACTGCTCTGTATAGTATAATACTCTAAATTCTCTAATAGTAGATGTTGACAAGGTTATGGCCGTGCTAGTTTGCGTGTTATGTATGTGTTATCTGTGTATATTTGCTGTACATATATAGCCGCCATGGTGACAGATTGTACCATGCATATGTTGTTCCAGTGTTGACTCAGTCGTCTACATTCCGACAGCTTTACATAATGTAGAGTCCATGGTCCAGTTAGGCCACACCGACTTAATTTTATGACTGACATCCAATGATCCAAGCGCGCCTGGCCTGGCTCTATACCTCAGGTAGGCCATGGTAGTTAGTGACAATACGGAGCCGGTGGTACTGATTCTGGAGGATGGCACCGATGGCACCAAAGCTCCACGACTCAAGAACTCAGTTCATACGTACAGTGTCGATTCATAAATTCCGCAAAAAACAGCATGTGCCGGCTTGACGTATACGTCGCTGTACAGCTTTGTATTCCTGTGGTTCAGTAGCATTTTAAATTTTTGGCAGGAATTTTTTTATTCGCCCGCGCGCACAAGTTTGGGGGTCTTTAGAGGATGTCATCCATAAAATCAAGACGGAGTGGCCTTAGTGCGTGGTACGACTTATAAACACATGGCTTGTACGTGTATGTATGGCTACCGTATATACATCAATACATTACAAACTATTACTAAATACTACTATTACTATTATTAGCGCTAGTCTGTTGAGTTCATTTTTTTTGTTTAAGGAAAAAGACAAGCTTTATGTGATTTTATAATTGCGTATTAGACTTTATTTTGAAATAAATCCTTACACACACACACACACACACACACACACACAGTTTCAGTTTCAGTTTATTTTATTTAACCAGTAATTACAACTCAGGCCATCCCGGCCTGTTTTTCAGGTAATCCTGGATACACATAAAAGTACACACAACAAATACACAGTACATAAACTATTACTAAATTACAACATCCTAAACATCAACAGTGTCAAAATCCAGCACCTAATGTTCTGAATAAAAGTCCTAAGAAGTCCTGCTCCTAATGAACTGTTTAAAAATCCTGAGAAGTCCTGCTTCTAATGTTCTGTTTAAAAGTCCTGAGACTGAGGAGCTGTCGTTGCTGTATCGGAAGAGTGTTCCACAGGTAAGGACCATAGTACTGTAGACTGCTCCTGTACGCCGTGACTCTTGCTGGTGGACAGCAGAGTAGGTGAGGGTCATAGTCCCTAAGACGCTTTAACTCTGATCGAGTGGTCCGTACACTTAATGTTGGAGCAGTCTCCCACTTGAACAGAGATGACATGTACACCGGCGCACCTCCACGAATCGCCTTAAAGACATTAACGAGAGTTGTAATTTCTGTTCGTTTGCGCACAGAATCTATCCCTGCCTCAGCTCGCAGGTTAACCGCTGAGACATGGTCCTGGAGTTTGTGACCTGTAATAAGCCTTGCAGCTCGGTTGACCAGTCTATCCAGCTGTGACATAAGAGTCTTGTTGCTCTGTACAAGACTTGGTAGCCATGCTGTGGCGCAATACTCCAGATGAGACAGTAATAGTGTCTGGTACATGGTACGCAGAACACACACACACACACACACACACACACACATATATATATATATATATATATAAAGATAGTGTTATAACGGAGGTCTAACGAATTAACCACAAAATGTGATACAAGTAGACCGGAATGCCTGAAAACGTTTAGTAACAGAATAAGACGCCGTGTTTTATCCGGTGCTGTTCATATTATTTCCGCTAGGAGGAAGCAAAATACGTTGAACATATATAGAGAAACAAATAAACAATACAAACGCTAGCAGGTTTATTACATACTTTTGCCATTACTGAGTACTGTATACAAACGTTACCTAAGTGTTCTTAAGAACGGGTTAACCCAGTATTTAGAGTGCTCAAATCTACTTGAAGATGAGCAAAACGAGTTCCTGTATCGGGATTACATACATGTGTACATACACCACATAAAACTCATAGATTTAAACCTTCTCACAACACGATGTAGCATAATCTCTTGATGGTTTTAGTGAGAACTACCAAAAGAGGCTAAAAAAAACTGCAAAACGTTACTTTCGCCCTTCTCTCTTTGACCACCATGCTGCCTTCCCAGCATGCCCAGTTCTAGCCAATCAACATGGCGGTGACGACCACTGCGCATGCTCCCATGAACAGGGAAACCATGTTCACAGTATGACCTGTTGTAGCGCCGTCACGAACTATGAGAGAAAAGATCCAAAGATAAGCAAAAAACAAACTTTTTTTTCATTTTCCAACTCAGATGACTGAGTTTTGATTAACAAATGGGACACTTGAGTAGCTTTTTATTGGGTGGTCATTTTAAAAAGCGAACTTTGCTTATATGTACCAAGGACGTTACGTTGTAAGTAAATGTATAAAGAGAGATTTTCTTACCGGTTTGATCATCTTTCAGGACGATGGGACCCTGGATCAGCCGGTAGACATCGGAGTCGTCTGCGGCCTCCCTCCTCCTCCTGCCCGCCTGGCAGCCCTGCGCGCACCGGGAGTTCGGGTCCGCGGCGTTACACAGGAGGACGTCACAGTGGAGGTACACCTGGGCATATAGGGCAGTGAATGAAACGTCCATTTATAAATTTTATAGAAGACTTTCTGCAACCCTTATTCTGGCATACAGCTACCATCCTCTTATGGCTGTTCCAACAATCAGATATGTGCCCCCTTTCTTATTGTTGCCAACCAATCACGTCGGTGCATACGATCAAGAGGCAACGTGATTGGCTGGTTGGCTCTAATGCAGTGGGAAGGACGAATCACAGGACGGTACGCCTGTAGGCCTGACAATGAGAAAATGGTTCCTACATTACAATCTGGAAACAAGGAAGCCTGTTGTGTTACTAGTGCTCTGGTCATATATACTAATACGTTTCATATATTGTTAGTACATTTAAGTGACTTACCGTACGTGCACCGCTGGTAAAGGCGAAGGCCTGGAAACCAAACCGTTCCTGCATTGTAGACGGTGACCAATAGCGAGCCAAGGTAGAGTCCTGGTCACAACTGTGAACGATTGGGTGAGAGGAGAAACAATGATTTAAGATACAGAAAAAAAGAAATCATACTACAAAACTGAAAGGACACAAGGTCATGATAGCACTCACCCGTCCCTAATGAGGTGGTACAGCACGTTGCTGTCGTCTGGCTGCTCTGTGGGCGTGGCCATACAGCTATCCACGAATAGCTGCAGGTTAGTATCTCCTGACGTCCCCTTCAGCTGTACGTACAGCATCTGACAGAAACACGAGATTTAAAGTACCCTATACCAGCGATAAATGTGTGTATGTGCACATATGTGTGTTTGTGTATATATGTGTGTGTGTGTGTGTGTGAGTGTGTGCGTGCGTGCGTGTTTGTGTTTCTGACTCATTTTCATAACGATATATTAAAATAAATAAAGAGTACTATCCCTAGCCCTGCAGCTTACTTTGCTATCAACACTGGTTTTATCAAGTACTGGTTAAAATGCATATCTTTTGGTACGTAGCTTACCGTACCTGTCCCAACTCCGCAGACAGTGGATACACTAACACAGTGGACCGGAAGCTGTTACTCAGGTACATCTCCATGGAGATGATGAATTCACCCCTACCGACGATGTGTGACCGGAACACGGACGAGTTTTGGGGGTCGAAGTTGACAGTGACGGTCTTACGGCGCGGCAGACGACACTCTACGCTGATCTCTGTGAAGTGATGACGAGTGATAATCACGCTCGAAGCGTTGACGTTGATGGTCAGGGTGTTTCTGTAGATGATGTCATCTTCTGTGTCCTTTTGAAAAAAAAAACAGCAACATATCGTTATGTTGGTAGGCTGAAAGATGTACCTTCAGCTGCTTTACAGTGGTAGCATAGCTTTATATTTTCAACATGTAAACTAAAAATCTCGCATGTGTAATAATATATTTATGCTTATGTTTGTCTCCTTTTGTTTACAATTACTATCAACACTATTGGTAATGGCATTTTATTTTTAAGCTCTCTCAGTTGCAATATCACAGCTGCATCTAGCGTATGTGAGCAAGAAAATGCATAAAGATCAATTATTTTATATAATTAATTTATTAAATAGAGACATGTCTTAAACAACTGTACTTACAGTAATACTCCTATAACCTATATCATTAGATTAGAAGACATTTGCTTGTGTTTTCCACGCATTTTAATGCTTTTTAACAATTTGTTGTTGACATCGACAAACCTGTCTACTTGTTCCACAAGCCGTGAGGGGGGCATCGATGTAGATATGGGTGGAGTTCTGATCAGCACTGCAAGGTGGCGCTGCTAGATGGACGTCTTCCAGCTGAATGGAGTTGTCCACAGGGCGGGGAAAACTGACCCGGATGTAGTTGGATGTGCAGGTCACTTGAGCTCTGATGGCTGATGGGTAAATTTTCATCGAATAAAAAAAGTATACATGGTATAAAAAGCTATATACGGTATGATTATGAATAGGCAAATTTAATTGAGTTTTAAAATGCAAACAAAGAATTTTTATGGGAAGGTTTAAAAACTACGCATAAGAGCAAACAAAGCTTTAAAACGTTACTTTATGATAACATGATAACTGGTTCAGTGTATTAGTACATGTAATGTCAATCCTGATAGTGGCTGTAAGGTGAATTTAGTTGTTTTTTTTTGTGCAAAATAATATGCTATATCATGTTACAGTATTTAACAAGAGTTCCGAGATCTCATACCTCCATGAAATATGGGCTTGCTTTGTCATACTTCATTTCAACATGTCCTCATTTATTATGCAAATAACATTAACATGATATATGCATAGTGGTGTTAACCTTTAGGTAACTTACACATGTCTCGAGGTATAAAAATTCCCATCATTCACCAATAAGGAGTCACAAAATTTGACATTAATTATGCAAATGATGTCATCATTGGCATAATTGGTATCTGTTGGTGTTCCGCCTGCCACAGATTAAATAGATTACATGTACAAAAGAACTATTATATATATAAAACATTGTAATTATAGAATTTCCTCCTTAACTATGCAATTAAGTCCTCATTTGCATAATTTGCATTTAATTATGTACAACTCTCTCTCTCTCAGCTACCTACACACCAAAATGATGAAAATACTACAAATGTGTGGAAACACAAACACACACACACACAGACAGACAGACAAACAGACAGGCAGACACGTCAAAAACAATAGCTCCACTTTTCATGGAGGTAAAAAGAGTAACTTCTTACCCGGGGAGTCATCCTGATTCCGTTGTCCTGCACAAGCCAGACACATAGTACGGAGTCCATAGCGATCGCCGCATTCATAGTCAGAAGACCCGCACGGTCCCCTAACTATACGGTCCACAGCATCATGTAAAGACGCATGGATTTGTCCTGCTCTGGGCGTTATAAACTTAGGGGCTGTAGATGGGTACGTACGTACGTTTGCAATATCAATATAGTAGTAATTCAGGTAATAATTCTCCACTGTGTTCCATCTGTTCCTAGAGATGACACCGTTTGACAATCTGTAGGCCATCGTCGCAAGTCCCCCCGAAAACCCCAGGTTTCTACATGCAAGATCCGCCAGACGCATCCGATAAGTCACCTCGAGATGCTCCACACTCCATCCCCGTACAGGTCCCCACTGCTGCGTGACGTTATCGAACAGCTCCACACAGCCGTAGAACTCTCCCCCCACCAGCCGGATCCCGTTGGTCTCGTCCGTTACTATGGTAGTGTTGTTAAAACGACCTGTGACGCACAGAAAATAGAAAAAGAAAGTAGATATCACAGGGGAAAAAAATTAAAAGCATATATGAGAATATACGCCCACGCATAGATATAAATGCGGGGAAGGGGTGTTAGTAAATATCATATGCTTGCTAGAAAATGTTAGCTTTTTACCTCCATGTCACTTTATACAAGGCAAATTACGCCGTCAGTCCCCGCTGGATCGATCGTAAAAGTAGTAAAATATTGTAAAAAATATTTTTGAGTCACAAAAAGTATTTTGAAACCTTACCCAAACACACTGGCTGTGTCCCCAACCAGGTTCTGTTGTCTCGATTGCAGTAGTAGACACCTTCCATAATGTAAACTTGGTACCCGAGATAAGTATACGGAGGTCCGACTAACAAGTCTGCTTCGTTTGGGCACGTAACGTTGCATCGTCCAAGGAATTCCCACCCGCCGCTCAGAGTCGGACCACGCCTTATCTCGTGATAGGTGTAGTCACAGTCGACTCTGACGCCATCGATATCCCATGGAAAGTCCCCACATGGCTTAGGGTCTAAATTGAGATAGAAAATACATCATTTTGTTTATTTACTTCATGATTCACTTAAATGTTTTGGGCTACTGTACAGCCAGTGAAGACAGATATTTGTTGACATTAGACTTGTTTAGCTTGTTCCATAGTGATGTGTTTTAGGAAAGAAGCTTTCAACGTAGAACTAGTGTATCGAGGAAGAAGGTTTTGCTACGGTGGAAGTGGCAAGACGTGTCCTCGCTGAGAATGTTCGAAGTGGGGGCACTATCGAGTGAAGTTCCGCCGAGCATTTACCGTGGATATAGCAATAAAATAACGCCAGGCTTGCTATCTTTCTAATACCAATAGTATTCCGTTATCACTCAATTAGAGTTAAGTCCATATCAAGCACATCTGGGATTATGTGAACTTCGTTTTGCAATATTTCTTAGAAAGACGGGGCGTTAGATCTTGTATGGTTTGCACCTTCTTCTATGTGGTTCAGTGAACAAAGAAATTCCAACACAAACACTCACCTTCAGTTGTCGCTATCGGGCTATTTTCGGTAGCTTGCAATTGGCCACGGCTTTCGTCGGACCAGGCCAGAAGTACGGCCAAGAAAAGAAGAAAGATCCCCTTTGCCATGATATCTACCTGGAACACTTCACTACCTTGTGTGAAAAGACTAAGGCCAGTTTTAAACGAGCACGAAAACAAAGACGTCGACAGCCTGTTGGTAACACTTCCGTCAGTAACTTCAGTAACTCGACTCCTCTGCGCATGGTGCGAAATAGCTCCAAGTTGAAAACAACATACCTTAACGCTTGACCTTACCTGCTAGGTGAAACATCCATTGTCTGTTATCAGTCTGTGACTCGGACACGCAAATAACAACATAGAATACTGGGTCTTCCAAATTACCAGACCTTTTTTTATTGATACACACACACATGCGAGAATGGTGAAGCTAGTGTGTTACGCCGAAGGGCCGTTATACTGGCTATACTGATACAGAGATTACAAAGCAGATTATATTTTTTATGATAAAATATGTTGAATTAATGTGCTTTTGGTATATTACTTTATCTATTCCAACTGTTTATTGCACCATAACTGGACAAGGCAGTAGTACTAGTATTGAATGTAGTATTATTCCCCCGCTAGGAATCAATTGCTGTACTACGAGTACTACCACTACTATTGATATAGTAGCAATAGGATGCTCTATGAAAGGATATGGTATTTTTCAAAAGTCGAGATACATTTAGATTAAATTAAAGGCATCCAATGCGATTTCAGAGCAGTAAAACTGGAAATATTCTGAATAAGGCAATATTTATAATATTGGCACTTACTGCTTCACATTAGCACATTTCAGTCAGTATTTCATACTTTACTTGAGGCATTTAAAACTGCAGAAATACGCCCCGAGATGAGTCCTTTATTTTATGGGTGGTACGCTAAACATCAGTCAAAGGCCCTTCCAGTAACCATTGTCTGTCAGAATTTGGGGTATTTTTGAGTGTCAATTGATACATTGGGACAGTGTGGTTTCAACTTAGTAAGTGACTACAATATTGACTTTGAAATATTTGGTTTCCAAGCCCTAAAAACTGCATTCATTGGATGTCTTTTAAGTGAAAAGTACACATATAAGCCTGACATACATTACCATTGCATAACTATTATGTATCATCACTATAATATATTGTTGAGATAACTACCACGGAAGCTTGCAAAAACACTGGAGAAGCCGGTTTCTTTGAGTTTCACGCTGCCTTCCCGGCATGCATAGGTCTATCCATTCAACATGGCGGCGACGACCACTGCGCATGCTCCCATGAAGAGGGGAACCATGCTCACAGCATGACCTGTTGAGGCGTCGTCAGAAACTACAAGAGAAAAGACTCAAGGATTAGCAAATATCATTTTCTTAATCAGATCAATTTCCTGAAAAATGCAATACGTTCATGAACAGCTTTTACCTTGTAGATGTTTTCAAAAAGTAGTCAAAAACAGGGAAATTTAAACATGCAAAAGACAACTTTGCTCATATTTTGATAGAAAAAAAATTGTTTGAGGTTTTAGCTAAATTTACTATTTCTCAGCTACAGAAAAAGCTAAAGGACAGTCCTTTCTGTAAGAATAAAATGCAAATTTGCGTTTCAGTTTACCAAATACAATCCTTAAAATCAGTGTATTATGTATTTATATACCTGGTGAATTTTCCTGTTTCTGCTGCATGCCCTGCGCAGGCCAGGCACATGGTCTTCCCCTCCCCTCTACAGCTATAGTCGCCCTGCGGACACGATCCCCTCACCACGCGGTCTATGGCATCGTGAAGGGTCGCATTGTGGGCAGTAGGGAGCTGCTCAGACATAATAAACTTTGGGGCTGTAGCAGGGTACATGTAGCTTAGTTCGTTCCATGCATCGTACGTGTCGTATTGGGACGTAAAGTCTTGAAGATACTCGACGTGTGTTCCAGAGGTTAGGAGATAAGCTACGGTAGCAAGTCCCGAGGGAAAACCTAGGTTTTTACACACAAGGTCTGCCCAACTCATTCTGTGAACGAAAATTTCCCAGTTCCACTTGGACCATCCACGGACAGGTCCCCACTGCTGCGTGACGTCATCGTACAGCTCCACACAGCCGTAGAACTCTCCACCCACCAGCCGGATCCCGTTGGTCTCGTCCGTTACCATGGTAGTACCGTTGAACCGATCTGTGTCATACAAGAAAAAAAAAGATAGTAAACAAAAATCCCTTTCAACTTTTCATCTTGCAATTGGTTCGAGTCCTGACATGCCACCGATTTCGTGCACTTTCCTCACTTAACTCAAGTGAAAATGAGTATTGTCTGTCCTGTATTTGTAGGACTGCATTTGAAGCAGTTAGTATGATATTCTTCAATCAGTGACTAATATAACGTAAAAACAAGTACCTCCAAATTTTCGATGTCGACTGTACATCTTGATCACGGAGTGACCTAGTCTCGCGAGAACACGAGAATAGGTCGAGACTTGCGTGGATCTTCTGGCCTCCCGCGCCTCCTTGCGGAGTAGGGGTAAATAGGACTTGGGCAGCTCCCAATCTTCGCTACGATTCAGATGCACAGAAGATCCACACAAGTCACAGAAATCCTTACAAAAAAGTCACCAGATTGAAGAATATTCTACTAACTGTAATCTTACGTGACTGATGAACCTCTTCAACAACAATGGAAGCGTATTTATAAGGCTTACCTAAACAACGTGGCTCCGTCCCAAGCCAGGTCCTGTTGTGCATGTTACAGTAGTAGGCACCATCTTGTACTTGTAGAACATCGGGAACGTAAGGAGGTCCGACCAACATGTCTGCTTCCCTGTGGCAGGTGACAGCGCACCGTCCCCGCAACACAAGGTCGTCACCGCTGCGTTCGTAACGATAGGTGTAGTCACAGTCTGTTGTGACGTCTTCGCTACCCCATGGAAAGTCTCCACATGGTCTGGGGTCTAAAATGAACACATTATAATTGTTTTTTTTTTTTAATTTTTATTGGTATTTTGAAATACAAAAAAATGTACAGACAAGACATGAACAAAGCAAAAAGTAATAACGTAATGGTAACAGAGAAATAATCCACGGATCCAAAAATACAATCGAGATAAAACAAGGATAACAGCAGGGAATAATTGTTTTAAATTAATATTGCTAAACAGCCTCCAGATTAATTCTGGACTTCCAGTTGAATTCCGGACTGGGCTAATATCGCTATATATAACGTAATATGTATAACGTTATGTCAATATACATGATATAATATACATAATTTAATTCAATGATATCACTATATTGTGCATATTTTTTATCGCCCGTATCAAACTCATTGGCCCCCATGGCCCAGTTAATGCGAATTTCGCTACATGCCTCTAAGGCTTTAGGAAAGTGAACTTTGATCTGCAAGGTTTTAGTATAGCAATAAACAGACAAAATACAACACAAAGTTAACACTCGCCTTCAGTGGACGTTGGCGTGTCACCTACGGTAGTTTGGCCACTGATTTTTTTTGACCAGACTAAAAGTAAGGCCAAAGAAAGAAGACAGATCCCTTTCCCCATGTCTTACGAGTACTTACACTTAGAAAACCTCACAACCTTGTGTGGAAAGGGTCAGGAAGTGTGACGTAGGAAGTGTGACGTAGAATTTTGTTGACTATGATTAATACACTGCAAACGCCATCGACTGCACCGACCACACCCACGTGGCCTCTGAGTATAGCCGGAGTTCACCGATGTTGCCTTCGGCAATCTACGTAGTGGCGAAGTTGTATTGTTACTGACAAGAGGATAAATCTCATATTGTTGGTATGTACGGTATGTAGGGGTGCATGTTAGAGAATATACAGTAAACAAGCTGGTATCCAAAGACCACAGTGCTACAGAATGGGGACTCCTACATTCTTTCTGCTTCCCACGTTTAAGCTTGTGTGTAAATTTATGGTTCAAGTTTTCGCTTCACTGATGATGTCTGGGTGGGAGGGCACAACTGTAACAATAGTACTCGTGCAACATCAAAACAGGGCCATTATTAAACGCCAATGTTTATATTGACATTGTTCTTGCGTCAGTATCAACGATTTGTATGGATATTCGCCAGATACGTAGAGATAATTCACAAGTACGCTACTTAAAGACACACTGTTTGCTATTCTATACAACTCGCCTATTGGAATGCGACCTTGTTTGACCTCACGTAGTGTACCATGCTTCAAGGTCATTTGTTTTGTGGGGAAGGAATGGGGAGGGGGGCAACTCCTTTCTAAATCAAGCCTAGACGACGCGTATCTTTCTCTTCGATATGGTGAACAGCAATCACTGATCATGAATCTAAAATGCCCTTTTTCCTGCAGACAACAAACTTCAGTTCCTCCCCCTGAGAGGTCAAGGGTTAGTCGCGAACGACAAGATGGCGGACGTCGAACCGACCTTGAACAGGGATCACGCAGACTACCTGCGCGAATCAGTGATGAGCCTGATGACAAATGTCAATCATCAGTTACAAGAGATCGAGAAGCTTAAGCTAGAAGCGGAAACAGACGAAACCGTCAGTTCAGAGGCCGACATGGCATTGTTGTCGCCTTGGTCTAAACTTGAAAAGTCAACCGAAGCTCGAGAAGAGTCAACAACCCAGCCTTTGGCCTTTTCTGGCACTGATCCAGTATCTGGGAAAGAGCAGCTGCGCAGTGACTCAGACATGAGCGCGTCCAGCGAGACAGAAAAGTCGACAAAGTCGTCCAGTCTGGAACAACTCCAAAATTTACCTGACACAGCGCCAGAAAATTCTGCTGAAGCCAACCCTACGGATTCGGAAAATCCTTTGGAACGTTTTGCGCTTCAGTTTGAGGACTGGATCGAGAAGACAAAGACCAAACTTGAATCACTTATGAAGCAAAACCGAACAACAGAAGAACAATCAGTTAAGACAAGTCATTTTGAAAGCTACATTTCTTGCCGCCTTGATATCTTTTAAGAATATAGAGATATCGATCGATCCTTAAAAATTAGAATTGTCTCAAAGCACCATCTTTGTTTTAACTGTGGTAAATTGTAGCTGATTTATAATTATCAATTCCTTTTCAAACAGAGTAGTCAAACTTCTTCATAATCTGAAATCTTAGTTTCTTGTTTCGTATTATGAGAGCCTGGTTACCAAATCCATTATTATAGCTTCCGAGTCCTACATCCTCTCTGCAAATCTACCTAACATGTTCAGACAGGTTCTAAATTATCTGAACCATGTATACTTTGAGAAATCAGCCCATAATATGGAAAAAAGCTTATCTCGTAAGTACATTAAAGACAGCTTGCTTCAAAAGTTTGGATCAGGACCAGAACCAACATCGTCAGACAAGCCGACCTCCCGCACTGAACAAACATGACCTGACAGTGACAGCCAGCCGGTGACGTCTCTTCTCTGTTAATGTCACTGAGGTTAAACAACCCTGCAGGAGCGTTAACATTTAAAATCACATTCGCATCTGTGAAAAGCCAACTCAACACAGGCGAATTTTACAGATTAACACCCAGATAGACATGTAGTCAGGATATAAATACTGAACTCTTTCCCTGGACCTGGGGCTAAGTTTTTCAATCTAACAAAGATACATTAGAGGTTGTAGTCATTATCTCAGTGAACATTTAAATGTAAGAGGTTAGTATCTTAACTCTTCTTATGGGCTAACAAGTAATCTATATTCAGAACTGTCACTGAAGTGAAGCACCTAGTAACAAGGCAGAACTGTCACTGAAGTGAAATACCTAGTAGCAAGGTAGAACTGTCACTGAAGCGAAGTACCTAGTAGCAACCGGGTAGAACTGTCACTGAACTGAAGTACCTAGTAATAAGGTAGAACTGTCACTGAAGCGAAGTACCTAGTAGCAGGCAGAGCTGTCACTGAAGTGAAGTACCTAGTAACAAGGTAGAACTGTCCCTGAAGCGAAGTACCTAGTAATAAGGTAGAACTGTCACTGAAGTGAAGTACCTAGTAACAAGGTAGAACTGTCACTGAAGTGAAGTACCTAGTAACAAGGTAGAACTGTCACTGAAGTGAAGTACCTAGTAGCAAGGTAGAACTGTCCCTGAAGCGAAGTACCTAGTAATAAGGTAGAACTGTCACTGAAGTGAAGTACCTAGTAGCAAGGCACTAGTAGTACTAGTGCCTTGCTACTAGGTACTTCATTTCACTTCAGTGACAGTGTTTATGTTTATTAGGAATCTCCATTAGTAATACAATGTTTGTTTACTAGTCTTCCTGGAGTCCTTTAACATTACATTTAAAAGATGAAATGTAATCTTAATAGCTACAATTACAACATGTATATACAACAACACCAGCTTAAATAACAGTATAACAATAACAATCTTATCACAATCTACACGTAGGCCTACTTGCTTATATGCACAACGATTATAGCTAGCTTAAATTACACACTTAGAATACAGTGGAGAGGTCAGCGAAGTACCTAGTAGCAAGGCACTAGTACTACTAGTGCCTTTCTACTAGGTACTTCGCTTAAGTGACAGTTCTACCTTGCTACTAGGTACTTCACTTCAGTGACAGTTCTGCCTTGGTACTAGGTGCTTCAATTCAGTGACAGTTCTGAATATAGATTACTTGTTAGCCCATAAGAAGAGTTAAGATACTAACCTCTTACATTTCAATGTTCACTGAGATAATGACTACAACCTCTAATGTATGTTTGTTAGATTGAAACATCATAGTCCCAGGTCCAGGGAAGAGTTCAGTATTTATATCCTGAGTAGTAGGGTAGCTACTATCACGACACTAGTAGTGTAGATAGTAGCATGGTACTAGTACTTTGTAGTAGTATAGCTTATAGTAGCACTGTACCAGAAGTGTAGCTAGACGCATGGCAGTGGTAGTGTAGCAAGTAGCATGAAACTAGTAGTGAGGCTTTAAACCTATACCAGGTCTGCAAGACTTGTTCCGACAAGTTTCTGAAGATGACAAAAACTTGCAGGCCGAAGCGTTTTCTGGTTAACGTTGTAAAATAAACTTACGATAATGTACTAGGTACATCGTGCTAGTATGTAGTAGATAAGTGAGTAAATATAATTTAAAAGTTGTATATGTTATGTTAGCTTGCCAGTACCTAAGTGTAATTCTATAAGGTAAAATTTGAATAAAGATGAAATTAAAAAAAAAATACAAAACAGGTTGATATTGCGTGACCCATACTTGCTCGTTGAAACCTAAACACTATAATTGGCTAGTATCCATCAGGTGGTTGTACATGTACATTAGAGGGCTTAGTGGCAAAGTGCAAAGATTATCTTAAAGATACTGGAATAAAGATCTTGTTACAACCTTACTCAGCAAAGCTGATGTAGGAATGACTCAAATACACGCGACTTAGTCATTTGCTTGATAGCATCAGCGTAGTATTGTGTCCAGGAATTCATTATGTCCTCAACAATGCTGTCTGGTTGGAAAAAACCAGGTCAGCTACCCTCAAGATAATGAGATCACCCGGCAAAGCCGTCTATCTTTTCCCCATTGGTTGGAGGTTTGATTGCATTTGCCCTGGACAACAATGATTGGTCCCTGTTCCAGATCATTGGTACACCACTGGAGGTCTCTTAAAAGCTGACTCTTGACCCGGTTAAGCTTTTAATGTCGGCAGAAGGATATCCAGGTCTTTTCTTGTCGTCGTGCGGGCACGCCTGGACGGTAGTACTACTGTGTAACAGCAAGCCAGCAGTTTTAGAACTACGCCACACAGTGTCTGTCTGAGGACTAGGAGGGAGGACACCATGTTATTTGCTTGCAGTCTTCTACTTCTGTCGTTAGGGTAAGTATATTTAACGTTATTTCTAATCTTCTTTCCAACTTAAGTGTTACATGCAATAATTGCAGAGTTTAAGCAGGGCATATTCCCATATCCTTAATCTTCTGTTATATGGTCATTTACTTGAGTGAGGAGATATGCAACAAGCATGCTTTTAGTCTCCTCCTTCTGTCGTTTGGTTAAGTATGTTTAACGTCTTTTCTAATTTTTATCATCTTATTTGCAACTATAGTGTTACATGCAATGATAGCAGAGGCACATTCCCATATCCTTAATGTTCTGTTTTACCGATGATCATCTAAGTTGAGAGAAAAGTGATGTGTAGTTTAAGCATTAGTTATGGCAGTTGTGGAGGGCAGTAATTTTGTTACTAATGAAGGCTATGTGTGAAAATTTTGCTTTTTATGTCTTTCGTACAAAGATCATTTTAGGTCAGACCCATTCTTCGGGTAGATTCATTTTTGTACAAGATAAACAACGGTTAGCCTAGATTTCAGTCAAATAAGCCTATCATTATAAGAAGTGTCACACAAACTGTTAAACGTTAAGAGCCCACAATTGAACACAATTTCGTTTGGACTTTTCAATTTCTTTTCATCGACAGCTGGTGTTTTCTTATAAGCCTTCTATCTAGTGTCTCATGCACGTTCTAGAAAATTCATTCTATTGTATGTCAGTGACATCTACTTGTTACATTTGGTTCCAAGAAAGCTACTAGAGTCAATTAATACCCGATTAGATTGATTTATATTCGTAATTATTGGCGACCGTGAAACGGAAAGTGACACTTTTAATTTTTGACTCACTCTTCCGGAAAAACCAACAAAAGAGCAGTAACACAAAAACTACAGCTGGACTTTGAATGGAACCCAAGCCTTGGCCCTAGTTTGACCAAGAGGTATCTTTCCTGTAATGATACGAGACTAGTAAGTACCCCTCAGCGAACTAAAGGTTAAAGTAGGGCAATCACTATTGTTCACTGTTAAAACACATGCTGACTAGGAAAAGAATAGAAAAGGATTCTTTCTGGTACTGCATAGCAACGTTATTTGGAGGGAAAAACAGTACGTCAAAAGACGGCTTGGTATGTACACATAGGTTTAAGAAAAATAAATGTTGTGTTACTGATTTCAGTCTTAGTTTTAAAAATAGGTAAGGATTGTTTGCCTTTTTTGTATTTCAATTGAAGTAATCAACAGAAAAAAAGCAGTTTAACGATGTGAAACTGAAATACACAAGGCTCAGGTCTCGTTTGCTTGTCGGGGGGGACACGCATTTCATACAATTTACTCTAAAATTTTCCTCTGAAAATGAGTAACATAGCAGTTCAAAGGGTTTGAAATCCAGTGTCAGGTCGACAAATTCATGCCTTAGGGTCAGTCGGGAAACTAGAAACACAGCATATTTTCCCTAGGCCTTACCATGTGGGCAAGCCCAAATTTGAATTTCATGAGATTTTCTCAATGAACCGTCCATAACCTCGCGTAGTCATAGTTTATTTTTCCGGCCCACCCTAATTTTCCTATGTAGTATTTTTTGTCCTCCGGATAAAACGTACTGTGTTAGACAGAAAGCTCATGAATATTTAAAATTACTTGCTTTTTGATTTCAAACACGTTTATTTCAAGATAATCAGCCCTTAGAGAAGATAATTATTGTTTGGGACTGAAGATAATTTCCGCCTACTATTTTTCTTGGTGTTTCGGTCACGCTGGGACTATTGTGTCGCGCGTGTGCTTTGTGTAATTCATCCTTTAGCAGCCATGACACGTGCGTAGCAACTGTCATGAAAGTAGTCCATACCGATTGAGAAACGAGACAATAACGACAGGAAACCGGTCTTTATGATGAATGAAACTTTAATATCATAATACCTAGATACGTACGATCTCAAAATAACGAAACAAAAGATTCCTACTTTTGAAATGAAAGGTTTTTGAAAAGTGTGTAGCTCCACAACATTGCTCGGATATTTTATCGAGCAATCGCCTACGTACAAGGAAGAATGTCGACTGTAAATGAAAAAAAAATCTTTCTCCAAGGGTCATATAAGAAAGACTTCTAAGTTACATTCTATGGGCATTTAGTCGGTAACGAGGTAGTTATATTCACCGTAAGTTGTCTTAGGAATTTGTTGTCGTACGGTTTTTAAGAAGGCTGCACATATCATGTGACAGAACCAACCAAGGCTTTATACAACTTCATTTTGTACAACACGTCCACAACTTTTCTAAGAATAGCCTCTTATCATGCCAAGATCGTGCAACGAATGAGAAACGCCTTAACTTTAAGCAGTGGGGACGGTCTATTCTTTCATAACAATGATTGAAAGAAGGTTCGGCTTTCCGGTATAATGATCATGAACACACCACAGGGTTTAAAAGAAACAAGAACACATTTTCAGAGTCTAAAGAATGTACATCTTAATCCTGGTAAACGATAGTTTACACCCTCAAGCACGCCTCTAAGACTATGTAAGATTAAATGTCTGAAACATGAGTTAGTAATTGCTGTCCCTAAGGGCTTGTTGCCATAATGTGCTTTCATATCGGCCTACATACACTCAAGTAAATAACCAGAGATCTTATCTAATACATGCTGGATGTACCGGACCAAGGGCCGATTGAAATAAATAAATAAAAAAATGGATCTGGATGATAAAATCTTTTTTTATATTTTACTGCTAATTCCCAGCAGATTTCCCTCATCATTTCATACCAGAAGAGTTTAAAATAGCAAGCTATGCGAGAAGTCCTTTTTACCACCCATAAATAGCTAGATCCAACCTACGATGCGAAACAAGCAAACGTTTTCTGCCATCGACATCAAATTTTTGCTTCAAAGATATCTACCACATTAAAAATGAACAAAAATTTACTTTTTAAATCCAGTTTTACCCCCTAAAATCGCTTTGGGTGCCTAAGATAACTAAGTATTCCGTCATGAGTTTGATCCTTAGTAAGAGTTTAAAATGGTACATACTAGCACTCAGCATTTAAGAATGAGTATGTGAGTTATACACACAGCACTACCAGTGGACTTCCTACTATAGTGTTTACACAACTGTGTGGCCCAAGGGCTACTGAACTGTAGATAGGCGCCGGCCTATACATCACATGGTGCGTTAAGGACTTCCAAGTTTAACTATTAACATCTTTCACTGGCCCGATGCTTGCGATCTTCTATATTTGACATGTACATGCGTGTCCTTGCTAGAGGAGTCAGGCATGGCTGCACGCTGTAATTTGCGACGTGAAAAGTCTTTGATCCCTCAAAACCATTTAATGGAGGACATGGGCATCAGGGTCTTCCGGAAACTGTTGAAAATCGAACCGGAAATATCCATGATGGCTTTAGATACTGATCCTAAAGGGGCCAATCGTGCAGTGTTCTTAATGGGGGTGTTTCGATAATCTTCAAGCAGATCCTAGCCTGGCAAAAGACAGTATTAAATTGGGGCAGGCAGTACTACCCATTCGCCCTTGGGTGGCGTATGGACCCTATCTGGCGAATGGATACTGCGTGGCCACGATTGGCCCCTTTAGGATCAGTATCTAAAGCCATCATGGATATTTCCGGTTCGATTTTCAACAGTTTCCGGAAGTCCCTGATGCCCATGTCCTCCATTAAGTGGTTTTGGGGGATCAAAGACTTTTCACGTCGCAAATTACAGTGTCCAGCCATGCCTGACTTCTCTAGCAAGGACACGCATGTACATGTCAAATATAGGAGACCGCAAGCATCGGGCCAGTGAAATATGTTAACAGTTAAACTTGAAGTCCTTCCCGCACTATGTGGTGTATAGGGCGGCGCCCATCTACAGTTCAGTAGCCCTTGGGCCACACAGTTGTGAAATCACTACAGTAGGAAGTCCACTGGTAGTGCTGTGTGTACTGTCTTTTGCCACCCTAGGATATGCTTGAAGATTAGTGTTTTGCAAATGAGGCTCGTATGTGTGAAATCAATGAGTAAAAATGCATAATTCGTCCACCATAAGGGTTAAGTAAACATGATTTGGCGAAGGTATGATATCGTGGAACTCTTGTTTCTTTTTTTTCTAGGACACTGGCACCGGCACAGGGTACAAAGACTTTTGACGATGTGATTGAAATCTTTGGTGATGAGCTGCATATATTGAGACCTGGATATGGAGGTATATAATACTAGTCTTACATTCATACACGCCATTGTGGACTTCTTTGTCCTATTTCCGATCCTTTCTTTCCGAAGAGAATCTAATTGAATATGAAGGATTTTCATATAGATTAGGCCACACCAATGAATTTTTAGGGATGACGTTTGCGCGTGCTTCGATTTTGGCCTGTTCCCAGAAAAAACTTCTGGTAAAAGATTCACGACAGTGGGATAAGGGATTTGAAGATATGATTAAAAGAAAGGAACAAGACAGGACGACAACTGCTGTTCCACTGACTTATTGTTGTTTTCATGGCCAAAAAATGTTAGTGGTTGTTAGACTGTGTCCTCTCTTTAAATTTGTGTCCTAACATTTGTCATCCCTTAGTATATTTCAAATCTAGGCATCTTGCTTTTTGTAGTCCTTCTTGTTTTTTTTCGTGCTTTTGCAATAAATTTAGGGTTTCCTTAGGACGTCACCCATAGAATTACTTGGTGTAGCCTAATAGTGTATGACTGATAAACACACCAACATTTTGCTACTGTAATTCACTTTCCCACCTACATAATCGCTGGGCATTCAATTTATGATCGGTATGATAATAACAAACCTTTATGTACCAGTAGATGCCATTATCTGTACAGTTTAAAATTGCTGTATAATGAAGTTATTGTGTGTTAAAACACAGTACTTAACCATATGAATATATTTTTTTCTGTTCATACAGGTCCGCCTGTTGAAGTAAAGGTGTCCATGTATATTACCGATATTGTCATGGACGGATTTAAACCGGTAAGACATTAATATCTAAGAGCAGTGTATTGTTATGATGAACAATAATGCCTTTGTGGAAAACAATATAAAATGAATTAAAAAAATAGAATCCATTGCTTTTCAAAATTTGGCTTTGGATGAGCTGGTATTTATACTAGTAAAAGAAAATATTTTCATAAATTTAAACGAGAACATTTGAAAGTCAGTCGCACAGGTAACTAAATGGTACATTTTTTCAGGAACTGACCCTTACCATGTATGTTCGACAATACTGGCAAGACGACCGTCTCAGCTTTCTGAGCAACGATTCTATGTCGGCTCGGTCTGTCAGCCTCTCAGGTAATGTAAATAGATATGTCAATACGTCAAAACAGCATTTCATTCTTTGTGACTGACATGATTACAGTATTGTATTAAGCAACACAATTAAAACGTATTTTATAAAGGGTTAATGTACCGCCTTATCCTTGGTGTATATAGTGCGGTAATCCCTGGTCAGGTGCGATAACCACCGAATAAACCATCGAGTGAACGTAGCGCACTTGTGGTTACATGTAGAAAATGAACAGGGATTGTCTCACCATATACACCAAGGATAAAGCGGGACATTAACGTTATTATAATATCGCCTATTCAATTGACACAGTTATTTGCCACGGGTTACAGTCTTACACGGGTGTCAAAAATTATGTTCAGTATTTTTCTGTTTGAATTTTATTTATACCTTTTTACCTGTTGTACTTTCAAACAAAATTATTCAGAATAAAGTACAATACGTTGATAAATAGATAAATGATACATGTCTTAACACTACTGTTAGTGCCCTGTACCCTGTATAAAGGTACGGCCCAAAAGTAGTCGGTTATTCCAATAACCAAACACGTTTTTCATTATTCACCACTTATGATGTTACGGCCAGATAACTGATAAATAATGTATGCTATTCTTCCGAAAATAATTTCATCAGGTTGGTAGAACTTAAGATGGGGGGGGGGGGGTACAAACTAAGCCACGTTTGGGATAGTGTTCTCGCCGCAAAAGCGCCACCTACATCGGCTACATATAGCGGCGAGATGCAGTACTCCAGTCAGAAGCTATGAAGAAGGTGTCTGACAGACACCGAAACGTCAGCAAGGTGAGATTCACTGGTTGTGTTAAAAGAAATCCCCTATCTCTTAATGTATGCTATTCTTTTTTCAGGAGAAGAAATAGACCTGGTCTGGACTCCTGACCTGTTCTTCAGTAACCTCGTGGACGGCTTCGTTCAGGACATTTTCAAGGACAACGTCATGATCCGCATTTCTCCAAACGGAAGAGTTCTCTTAAGCCAACGGTAAGAAAACCCGTCTTAAATGAGGTACTTAAACTTCGAAAACTATGTCTTAACATTTTTCGAAAAGTTCAAGGGATAGCTTCCAAAATGAAAATAGATATTGAAGATTCAGTTTTGTTTAAAGTTAAAACTTTTTTCTAACACAAATGTTCTTACTTAGAGCTTTCGACCAGTTTTCTTAATTTTATTTAAAAGTCTAGACATTGAGTGAGATATTTTGTGTCACGTATCCGTAAAGTCTCGTGTAAATAAGGTCACGTGTCTGTAACCGCAACTCTCACGAGATCACGTTGTGAAGTGATTGGTCATTAATTATCCTGATGAAGGCGACAGTGGTCGCTGAAAATTTGATCTCTGTGTAATCTTTGTGTTGACATAAAGTTCAACATTTTACTATGATTGCTACCAACACAGATGAAATTTCATGATGATGAGATATTGTGGCCATTACATATTACACTCTAATGACGTCTACCTAACCCATTTTTAGTGTATCTGTTGATGTCCGGTGCCCGTTGAACCTGCGATACTTTCCAGCTGACACCCAAGTGTGCAAGTTTAACATGGAGAGCTGTAAGTACAAATTTAAGTAGGATTTGAGTAAGGTGTTGATTTTAAGCTATCTTTGTATACGAAAGTCACAGTGTACTTAGGTTGTAAATAACTATGATTTTCAATAGCGTTTTCCTGTTACCAGTACTCTAATTATATAATTCACTACTATACTGAATCCCAACCCTATCCATGCTATTAACTGCACATGAAATACTAAGTCTCCTATATGGCACGATGAAGATGAGTCTAGTTTAGACAGTTGTAGTCTAGTCTAGAAAATGGCATTGACCCTGTAGTCACATTGAATACTTTCTATGTATTTAGTCTGGATATTACCAATGTATGCATATTATATGTACCTGGATAATGTTCCTTTTTGTCTAATACTAACAGATTCACTTACAACAAATGACATTGTGTTACTGTGGATGGACGGTGACCCCATCAGTGTGGAACCTGCCGTCAGTATCCCACAGTTCAGCGCGCCTACAGTGAACACCTCATATCAAACAGACATGTTCTCCACAGGTCAGTGACCTCAAACTTCACCATCAACAGTTGTCGCTTTTGTTTATTGTTTATTTTGCACTCATAAAATAAAATGAAATATAACAATTGAAGTTAAGTAGACATGCATGGGAGGGCCGGAAACGAATTCAAAAGAATGTTTAAGGACTTATAGTTTTGGGGTCTGGGTTTTGGGTTTGTCATTTTGTTTCTTCTAATAGCTTTCAGTTGCATGGTGGGTAGGAGATAATTTTGACAGTTTATTGATAGTGATGTTGCCTAAAAGTAGAAGTAACCCAACGGGCGCTCTCTGGAAGTGTAATACTGGATAGAATTACCTTCCGTGAACTTAAAGGTATCGAAATCCTTAAATATAAAATTATTACGTCTGAAATCTCTGATTCCTTCTTATGTTTACCTTGAGGTTCGTAGAAGGAAAACATATTGTTTTTGCTCAGTTTCTTCTTCCTCTTGTTCTTCTTCTCTGAAAAAATAAAGTCAGTGACATGGACCAGACGTCTGGCATCATACTAACCTGTGGTGTTTTGTTATATCATGTAGCAGATGTAAAAATAAACCTTTGTTATAATATGCTATGTGCTAACTTACACAGAACAAAGTTGGAGGGTTTGCTCACCATACCTTTGAATGTATCTGACTTTGAGTAAGTATAAACAGCGCAGTAGTATGTTGGAGAAGACCATGTGTTACTTTTCTAGTCATAGAATTGTTTCTAGATTTCTGACTAGTATCCTTGCCTTACTGCCAGGTTCTTACACGAAGCTGGTGACCTCTCTGACCTTCCTACGTCACGTGGGTGGTCACGTGACCATGTTCCAAATACCCAGCATGCTCTTGGTCATCGCGTCCTGGACCTCGTTTTGGCTACCTTGGCGTTATGCGCATGCGCGCATGTTAACCGGCATCCTCCTTCTTCTCGGTCACGTCGGTCTGGCTTTACTACCCAGGGTTCTGCTGCTGTCAAATGTATGTTTAGTTATTATACATTTATACTATCATAAAAACTTATATACAATACAGGGAATTTATACAATACAAAAAGGAGATACGTTAATGAAGGTTAGACATATATTCACTTGAAATGTCGGAATATTGCCGTAATTTATCTAGCACATGTAGTGGAGTTTTGGATTGTGTTTGAATGAAAACTTTCAATGAGAGTGGGTTTCATAGATGAATCATTTTGAAAGAACCAGACATTCAAAATGTTTAAGTGAATACGTTTGCCATTTGAAATAGAATGTAAGACCAAAAAAGGTCTAAGAAAACTTTCTTAATTGTACACAGGTCCCTTATATGACGCTTTTGGACGTATGGATGGGAATTGATACTACATACATCTTCTTCGCCATCCTCGAAACCGCTCTCGTTGCGTTCCTTCACGACCGGGGCCAACATCCTTCGGAGGACGGCGTGGCTAGGACCGAGGGAGGCGTGGAGACCATCCCGATGACTGACTTCGTGAAGCCCGGACAGGCCGCGCCTGGACGGAAACTCAGCGGCATGTCGGGAAGGATTGACGTCATCTCCCGTATTCTCTTTCCGGCGTTTTACCTGCTCATTAACATAATCTACTGGTCGTACTTTTCCTCCATGCAGTAGGCTCATGTCGGGTTAGCTGTTACTACTGTACGTTAACTTTGACTTTAACAAAGTTATCCCTTGTCATTGTTCTAAGAAGTAGGTCAAAACCGTCTTGTTATTATTTGTACTAAGAAGTAAACTATTTGCTTTATTTACCATGTTTAACCATCTTAAGTCTTCATTTTCTTACTCAAGTATAACACGTAACTGTTAAACCTTGTAGTTGAAATTGTTGTAAGTTTGCACCTAGTAATTGTAAATGGTGAACCCACTAATTGCTTAAGATACAGAATACATCAGAAGTGCTCCATGTGTATCGGTGTTGCAACTTGAATAATGAAACATCAAAAAGGCATGCATGATTATTAAAAGATAGTAACACAAATTGTTCCACAAATATGTTTTTAATCTTGAACTGGTTCCAGGTAGCTAATTTCACAATAAGTGATGCGTTACTTTTACTACATGTACCTTCAAAAGTACAGCCTTAGAAGTCAAAAGAATCCATTCTACTACCAGACTATTGTTTTGTTGCATGATATTGACATCATATTATTTCAGCCCCATCATTTATTACATGTATCTGGAAGTATTCTCAAACACAGTATGGGTATATTCATAAGAGGTACACTTACTATACAGGTACAGGTATATAAAGATATCAATGCAAATAAAGGGGGTGGTTCTTTAATTAAAAGGCTTGTAATTTAGCACTTATGGTATCTTTGTAAAATTGCTCGCAATTGTTTTAAATTGCGTATAGTTTTCGTTGTCTGTATTTTTAAGACAGCAATGTCACTAATACCTTTCTCACAAGCTCGTACTAAGAAAATAAATTGGAAGCAAGCACTTCTATGAGTGGTTTCGACTGCGCATGCGTGGGGTCAAAGGTAAAGGCCTTTTACTTGTAAATAGTTACCTACAACGCATCAAACAGCGCATGCGCAGGTGAAAGTGAAATAATGAACCGGCTCACTACGTAATCATCGTAGTTAACTTTTTTATGCTTTTTTGGCGTGCATCATAAATATTGAGCAATGGTAATAATTTATCTACCAACGATGATGTGTTACATAGCAACATAGTATTACATTGTTTACATTTGTACTGAATATTGAATTCCTAAACATGATCCTTGAAAGAAAGTCCATGTTAATTTGAAATCAGTCCACACTTCACTAAAAAAAATTAACAGGAGACAGCACCTGCTACCTTTAAGTTATATATCGTCAGCGTTTTCACCAATATCTTTTAAAACTATTTACCAATAATTTACACTGTATCGGAATTTAGCTAGTCGGAGTTGGTATTATAATTAAGACATTTCAATGCGAATCATCATCATCATTCCTTCATTGTACAAAATTTGCAGGATTCCCTTTAATACACCTCAACAATATCATTACGGTTTTTACAGCAATTCCATTCAATATGAAATCATTGCTTGTTTGCAGAATAGACCTACGTACATACGTTTTCATTTTTAAATAATGTCAAACCTGAGCAGCATACGTTCTTCTTTTTAAAACTTATAACAAAGAAGCAATTTCTTTGCACTTTGTATTACCTCCTTGTGTGGAGGTTTTGTTTTCTATAATGCATATCTCTGTACCGTATCTGCTTAGGTTTCCGAAGCTCTTACCATATGCTAGGCCGACATAAAGTTAAGCCAAAGGTTCCAAGAAGCCCCCAAAATTTCTTCGATTTTCTACCATATGCATGTCTGCGTTTTTGTCGGAGTCAGTGGGAAAACAGAATCAGTGAGAATTTTGCAATAATGAATAGATTAAACTAAATCAAAGAAGAAATTCATCAAAGCATATTTGAGGGCCATGAGATTTTCGATTTCTTGTTCTCTTTGGTTTCCCAGCCGGTGAGCAGCCTGTATCGTCATGAATTCCAAATATCCTCTTTCTAGATAGAACGTACCAAACCAAAAAAAGGTCTCTACATAGAGGTGGCTGAAAGTTGATGTTCTTGTGACAAAACATAAAGAAAATATTCAATTTTCGCAACTTCTACCAGCCCCACGATCAGAATAGGCTCCATTAGTACGGCTCCTTGCCGCAGGGTGGCGCTTCGATGCGGTAACTGAGCCGGCCTATACCCCCTCCCAGCCAACCTTGTTAGTTTCCAATGTCGAAGCCTTCTTTGAAAACAAAAGAAAATGGAAGCGTAGACGTTATTTCACCTCTGATAGCTATCACCTGCCATTGATGGCCATGAAACCGGTATGTGTTACGTTCAATACCGATCATTTTACTTAATTCAATTAAGCTATCCTCCATTTACTACCAGACCCTCGAAAAGCAGTAACGTTGCTACGACGGTCAATACGTGAACCTCAACAGTCCCTCCAGCATTTAAAATAACCGCCATCTTTGTTCCAACATGGCCGCCATCTTTGTTCCAACATGGCGACACTTCCAAACCTCTCGACCACAGATGATTCAAATTACAAGGTTGTACATTTGAATGATTCCGGTCCGTTCAGGTTATTTCTGGAGTCTCTACTGATGATACTTGAGGGGACGGTGTTGGCTCTGGGCGGAAACTCCACGGTCGTGGTGACCTGAACGTTCCCGTTCTCCCTCCGGTGGATCTCCACTAGGGTGTCGGCTGTCTCGTTTCTCGGCGGCTTCCCTCTTTTTCTACAGGTGAACTAGAAGATTGATCAGAGATGATATTACTTAGCGTTTATCAAGAATTATAATTAGCGTAAAATCATAATAAGCGTCATCGGTTGGCTGCAGAGCAAAAATACGTGAGTCACTCTTTGCTGCACCGCCATTTTACACGATTTTCAATGAAATCTCGCGATAATCTTCCTCGCGAGAGTTCCGATAAAATCTCGCGATAATCTTTCTCGCGAGAGAATTTGATAGGCTTTGTGCATTACTTTCACAGCATTGTTTTCACAGAGTTTTCATATTCCATTTTAGTTGTCTTTCTGGAATACACAAGTTTGAAACCATCCGGGTATACGTGAATTACCCATAGAACCGATGTATCCCAGCAAATTTGTATTATCTTACCATCTTCCAATCGTAGTCCCCTCCTTTTCGCATGTAGACCAAGATTTCCACAAAGCAGACGGACACGGACAGCAGAGTTCCCAGCATCAGGACGTAGAAGACTCCCGCGAAACTGTCCAGGCCCAGCTCCGTGGCCACAGTCTTGGTGTGAGACGTGGAGAGGGAGCACTTGCCGAGCTTTGGCCACCATTTATCTTTCAACCTTTCCAGTACTCCATTTTCCTGAAGCTGTAGAATTCTGTGAAATATAGATAGTGATAAAACGATATGATTTCTTAATCGATTACTCAAAATACTGGAATAGTTTGCCTTGTTATTATGATACATGTACATGTAAATGTATAGCCAAATGGTGTCGACCAATGAGAGGGTTCCATTTTCCTTAAACCACGAGTCATTATAACTCAATATTGACCACTTGTGAGCTCGCTCACTCGGCAATTTATTCGATGGTTATAGGAACCAACATGCCTTAAAAGTAATATAATAATTGTGGATATGTAAACGGAATTCTACGTTTTTGTAAATTTTAGTTCATGAACGACATTTTGTTGAAAAGACGTACCCAAAAGAGAAGTCCTCTCTATAAGGCGAACCTTGCTGGAGAGCTATCCCATAACCCCTTTCGTAGAAGTGGCTCTCTGACGTCATGAGGCTGCAGGTGGGGTCGTTCAGCGCGACGTGTTCGATAATGGCGACGTCCCACAGAAACGCGTAGTTCCCCTGTCGAACTCTTTCGAAACCTAGTAATATAAGTTAATGAAAAGCCAATAAATAATTTCTGAATGACCTAATTAGCATTTTTTTATTAAAAAGCACTTGTTTAACAACTTGTTTAAGAAGAGCTAAAGAATGGCCATCGAACCGTCGGCTCCTGTTGAGCCAATGATCTTTTTTCAAACAATCGTTGTGCATAAAGAATTTTGATATTCGAAGGTAACAAAATGTACTTACATTAGTAAAACAATGGATTTAACGAAAGGACAAGTCTTTTTGCTTGAACAAGTTAGGAAACAGCAAGAATTTTTTGATTGGATTGCTCTTTTAGAAGTACAGTATTTCCATACTTTTTTCTCGGTACATTGATGGTGACAAGATCGATTTTGTTTCAAAGTTTTTATCTTCTTGCGAATGCTATAATGGAAGATATTTCTAGAGATAGGTTGTTTGACATTGTGGCTACAAAATTAATGTAGTAATACGCCTCGGGTTAATGTTGACCTTCATCGGCTGTCTCCACAAACGTAGGCGGGTCGCTGCCGTTCATGAACCGCCACATCTTCTGGTAGACGTCGATGTCAGACGACTGCAGTGTGGTGGTCAGGCTGGTGTCACTAAAGTAAAAAAGAAATTCTTAATTTTACCCGGACGCCTATAAGGTATACGTATTTTAGTCATTCAGTTCATTAATGTGACATTTTGCATTTATGAGAGCTTTTCTAGATCAATACGACATTTTTGCCCAGTTGATGCCAAAAAATCTACGTTTCAGGTACCTACCTGACCGTTCCGTACGGTAAGACCGTTTGCGATGCCAGCTGGTCGATAGACTTGATCGGCGTCTCCATGCGGGTGACCGTGAGGAAGGCAGCCAGGTTGGCGGTGTAGGTGGAGATGATGATCAGGCAGAACAGCCACCAGAAGCCGCTCAGGAGTCGACACGAGAAGGACTGCGGGCTCCAGTCCCAACCTAAGGTTAGGAAGAGAGGCTGAGCAGTGAAGGTCCCAACATAGGAACACAATTCTAGGACCTCTTTAATGCCTTTTTTTCTTAAACCTGCTGATCCAATCTGTTTTTTTTTGGGGGGGGGGGCGAGAAGGAACAATGAACTTTATTGCATATTCACGCTCTATATGAGCCAAAGTTATCTAACTTGGGTACAAGTGTAGAAGAAACAGGTGTTACGTTTCTGTGCTACGTCTATCTACTACGTCTATCTACAGGATATATCTACAAGGTCTGTCTACATGATGATGAGAGATCTGAGTGGTTAGGTCTTGCATAGTCAGCGTGGATAAAAGCAGTAGAAATCTAGGTCAACGATATTGTTTGTTTACTGTTGTCATCTGTCGCCATGATCATTAATTGATTAATTTGGGAATAGAAAATGACTATTCTGCTTACCTTGCTGTACTAAGGAGCTGTAGATGAACCAGAAGCTGTCCTTCAGTTTGACTCCCGGCGTCTCGTTCCCGCCCTCGCTGTACAGCAGGTGCGGCGTGATGCGGTCCAGCACAAACAGCACGGTCCCCACGGTGAACAGCGCCCCCACGATACAGCCCCACACGTACACACTGAACGGTCCTGAACACAACCGGCAGGGGGCGCTCGTGAGTGGTTGTGTCATTAAACTTTTAAAAACATCCAATGCAATTTTAGAGTGGCAAAAACTGGATTTCCAGGAGAATATTTTTTTCGTCCTACTTTAAATGTAACACGTTTTTTGATCATTCTTTTAATTTAGCAAGTTGAGGCAATCATACTATATTGACATGTACATATGATGACTTTATTAGGATCTACAATTAAGCTTTACATCTCATATGTCGATTGCATATTGATATATGTGAGGAAAAATGGGATGTCACTGTCGGAAAATGGTGGCTTGTTTCGTATCGTACGTAGGTTACTTGTAGATATTTATTCGTGGTACCAAGAAGGGACTCCTTACCTAGCTTAATATACATGTACTATTTCAATGTTATATATAATATTATATAGTGATAAAAAATGTGCTAACCAATGACAGTAAATGTCAAACCAATTCTTCCATCTAAATTCCATATATCTATGTAGATATCTATGTACAGTCGCCACTATCGCTGGATAAAATTGATGTTATTTTTCCAAACATAATATTCTCCTTAATATGCACGACGTACTACCTGCTACTGAGAACAACATGCGGGGCGTGTAGCGTGACGGAGATAAGATAGGGGCGAGCGATGACACAGATATCAAGTACTCAGGTACAGTCACGGTACTCGTAATTGGACAATCACTCAGATTCTCACATTTTGGGACGACATCTAGAACCAGTCATCAGCATAGTCATGACACGAGTATATTTAAACAAGAAATCAAAGATGTCAGACATCCCAAAACAGTACCCAGGAAACCAGAGGTAATCGCACAGAGGGTAATGCTTAGTCTGGGTGTCATACATTTCTAGCCTCTACTAGGCTTCGGGAGACGGCTAGAAAGAGAAGAGTAGAAATCGTCCAAATAGAGAGAAAACTGTGATCTCCAGTAGACCAAGTCCCTTGGCATGTTATTTATCTATTTGGCAAATTTCTACTCTTTCCTGCCGTCTTTCAAGGCCTGGTAGAGGCTAATCCATTTTGGGCTCCCTGCTCCCATCTACCCGGTGTTTTGTTTCGGAGGTAGCGAGTCGACCAAGGAGCCAGATTTTAAACCGGATAGCACCTCCCAAGTGATGACGTACATGTAGGACTTTTACCTATAGTTAAGTATGCTTTAATAATATATAAATTTATCCTATATACATAATCTACCCAGGTCACATCCAACTCGATTGGAGATAGCACGCCAGTTCAGTATTTCAATGACATTGATTTATGCTTTGGTGAGCTATGGGGGTCTCTAACTCCCAAAACTGTTTTATTCCTTTCACTTCATTCGGGTTGGTAATGTTCAAATTTGATCGATGATCCACAAACCACATCACCATCTTACAACGGATCAGCACTTGCAGTCGTAACCAAGATTTCCGGCTCATAGATACTTTGTGCTTGATGGCGCATGACAAAAAAAAACGCCCCACAATTTCTATTTCAAACCCAATGCGACATGTGTAACGTGATATAACGATCTAGCGCACTCGTAACTTCTCCATCTGGCAATTTCACGCTCCAAAACACGGGAATAAAGTTACATTTTCGATTATATAAGTCATTGAAAATGGACGTGAGAAAGCGTGAAGGTACTCCTTCCTACTCCCGACAAATCTACAATGTGCACTCGTGAAACCAATTCCCGTGTAATATTCCTAGATAGATGGTTTCTTTCAATGGATCTGGTTATGGATAAGTTGTCATTGCATTTTCTACCAGCCGGAGACTACTGAAGCGTAATGACAGATGGTAGAAAGCAGAAAAGGCTGAAAAAAGCAGGTTCAGAAAAAAAATGATAAAGGAACGGTGATGTTTGTTACCGTTGTTTGAAATTTATGCAAACTTAAAATCGAAACATTTATGCGTTGAATTTTTCAACATTATTTTTTACTGAAGATAATTTTGCACATACCTAGAAAGCCGAGGACGTTGTTGGTCTTGATCTCTGGTTTCTTGGTGAGGATGCCGAAGGACTGGTCCATGTAGCGTTTGGGGAAGTCCACAACAGTCTCCCTCTGGGTGGTAATGGTCATGGCCGAGATGGCGAGGTGTGCTTTCTGAAGTCACGCGAGAAGAGAGGCCACGAGAATACGTAATTAAGCTGTATCTAGTTGTCTTATAGATAGTTGGAAAGCGTTAAAATATACTGCAACAAACAGATTTACATTTACATTGAAAATGGAAGATCAAACTATATGTCACATCTACAAGTTTACCATCGGCAATGCTTCTGCAGTTGTGAAGGGTAGTCACGAAGTGACTGGACGACGTACGGTGGAAAAGCCTAGCACGTTGACAGAATGTAAACCCTGATTTTTCACGGTTATCGTTGTATATTTGGTCAATGTTGCATGTTGCATCCTGCAGACGATATTTTTTCTGACATAACATTTGAAAACTACAGACGGAATGCTAACCTTAGATACGCAAATACGACCTTATATGAAACGTTCTGCCGAAGTGCTATGCACAATACATTACATGTTCTGCCGACATGCTGGCCAAGAGTGTTATGATAAGCAGAACATATTTCTAAACTTCATTCTAACTACAGAAATTCTGATTTACTTGTAACAGAAGGTACACCCACCATGTTGACTACGTCACCAATCATGCCATTCCAACTCCCGTCAGGCTTTGGGGCACCATACTTCCGGTCGGCCACCTCGTAGATGTCGTAGGAGAAGCCGAGCAGTTTGGACAGTTCGTCCAGAAGGTCTATCGAGAAGCCGATAAACTTCGGGTTGTCTTCTTCTCCCGACTTAAACACGAAAGGTATATCCTGGAAAAGTTTATTGTGGTTTATTTTGAAACAAGTATCCTTTACCTCTCTCTCTCTCTCTTATATATATATATATATATATATATATATATATATATATATATATATATGTATTTATATACATTATATATATATACCCATTGGTGCCAGCTATTCTTTCAGAAGAGGGTAGAGTACATAAGAACATAAGAAGTTACATAACGTTAAGTTACATTACATACAGTTATTTAAAAGATGCGAATGAAACGGTTGAATCAGTGAACCAACAAATTGAATTGGTGTGGCCTTATTTGGCTAAATGTTACTGGTTTTGAACCCGCCGTGTTACTCTGGTAGAGACTACTAACTTCCTGTTAGTGTCCCAGATGTGGAAATAAAGCAATGCCTCCCCTTTCACGGAGACGAAAGCGGAGAAAAATTCTTTGGGAAGCTAAGTCAACTTGCCTTTTATCATCATGTCTAAAGTTTTATCTTACCTCTGTTGTCACCACCCGTAAGCGTACGTTCTGTAGACCGACATCCTTCGGGTACGGCACCTGGAACATCTCCAGGTGGTTCACCGGGTCCCAGGTGCCGATCTGGAGAGAGACATGGATTAACGTGTTACATGCGTTCTTGATGAGTTCTAGCTATAGGCATTAAAACTTGCCCAACTGAGAGCCTTTATAAGACGAACATCTGGCCATATCGTCATTTTATCTTTAGCCATGCATTCAAATATCAGAGTTATCAACCAAGGATATTGAGGTGTTCAAAAACTCATTCTTTCCTAGACCTATCGCAGAGTGGAACTCGCTGTCAGCAGGTCCAGTAGGGGCATCATCACCAGAGGTTTTTAAACAACTCCTGCAATTTAGTATGCAGAGATCGGGTGTAACAAGTCGTTCGGTGTGTATTAGCTAGCTGCGTATTAGCTAGGTACCTGTGACGTACCTGTTCCATGGTGGTCCCGTTGGTAGTAAACTTGACCTGTAGGATCTGGAACGTCGCGTCAGCTCGCGCCACGGACTCGTTTGACGTTCTCTCGCTCAGGATGTTCCCTTTGTCCACCTGCCATCAAACAGAGAACAAGGCCATTAGAGGCCCTGGCGGTTATACGTGATGCAAATTAGAATGTCAAAACTGGATTTTCAAAGTAAACAGACGCAACACGAAGCTTTTGGGGGGTTATTCTTACTTATAGGTATGAAATGATGACAAAAACGTGCAAAGAAATGAGAATATTTCTGTTTTGCCCCAATGCATCTATTTCACAAAGGTGCATCCGCTTTATTATTGGTTGAACTACTCATTTAATGGACAGCCAGCGGCTGTTTTTTCCTGACACCTTGTGTCAACGAAAGTCAAGATGTCAAACTAAAATCCGACCCTGTATTCCTTCTGAGCCGAAACCTTTCTTAATATCCGAAGCCGGGGCAATTTTCCTCTTCGGTGCGTTTTCCATTTCTCACAACTCAAGAGTGACCTTTTTGCCCACAGGCCACTTCAACGTCTGTAATTCTGTTTTCTCGCCAGCGTGCCGCTGGCCTGTAGTGTGTAGACCTCCTATGTATGCTGACATGCGTTATTACAGCACCTTGTTCTTAATCTGAATGGCTTCGGCGGAAATCATTAGGTTTTGGCGCCGTCGTGACCGGCCTAATCGAGAAAATCAGACGGGTTCTGTAATTGACAATGTGTTAGAGCTGGGACTATTGGGCTGACCGATACCGTAGGATTGCCCCCAAATGACAGTTTAGTTTTCTACAGATTTGTCGACAGTTGTTTGGATAAAACAAGCTTGAAAAAAGGAAATCAAATATTTCAGACTTCCAGAAAGTATTTTTTGTGACCTTCCATTTCACCCCTGTTGGCGGCCTGTTATTATCCCTTAAATAATTTCAGCAGGTTGGAAGATACTTAGGGTATAGAATTTCTTCTTACACAACCAGTAAGGTTCTCATCTGCTTACTTTTCGATGTCTATCGATATCAGACACCTTCCTCAGAGCTTCTGACTGCTTCTGTTCTGCAACTCGCCGCTATATATCGCCAATATATCGTCGCTTTTGCGACGAAAATGCAATCCCAAACGTGGCTGAGCTTGTACCCCTCTCGTCCCTGTTCATCACTGGGGTTGATTTTCTTATCCAGACTGCTTCTTTGATCTCCTGTTGTCCTCCCTATCTATGACCCTGGCTCCCTCCCAGTCTATCACACAATTGTTTCTGGCAACATGGTCTGTGATTGCCGATTTTTTCTCTCTTCTTTTTGTGCTTGTTGTTTCTGGGAGCGTGTGTATCTTATGGCTTCAATGTTGTCTGCTTCTTTTCTGTGTTCTTCCAATTTTTTTGCCAAAGGTCCTTCCAGTCTCTCCAATGTACACTTCATCACAGATTTTGTATACGCAATCCGTTTTCACGTGGTCCCCCATCTTGTCCTTGGGGTGGACAAGCAAGTTCCTCAATGTTGTTTTTGGCTTTACTGCTGTGGTTACCTGGTGTTTCCTAAAGACCCTTTCTAATGGTTCAGTGACTCCTTTTACATACGGGATAATCACCATGGCCTTAGTTTTCTCCCCTTCCTTCTTGTTCTTCTCTGTTTTGGCCTCTTCTTTTGTTGTTCCACTTCCTGAAAGGTCCATTGTGGGTAGCCGCAACGGATGAGGGCTCTCTTGATGTGCTGTGTTTCTCTTTCCTTGTCCTCCTCCTCTGTTACCACCGAGTTACACCGGTCCATTAAGGTGCGGATGACTCCAAGTTTCTGATGCAGAGGGTGGTGGGACTGGAAGTTAAGGTACTGGTCCGTATGTGTGCTTTTTCTGTACACCAGAAGCTTGACTGTTCCATCCCCCTTTCGTACCAGGAGAGTATCTAGGAAAGGTAATGTGTTGTCCTTCTCCTCCTCATGTGTGAACTGTATACTTCCCGTGGGATCTATGTTGTTTAGGTGGTCTGTGAGATCTTGATGGACACCCTTCTTCACTATCTCCATCACGTCATCCACATACCTTTTCCATATCTTGGGTCTACATGTGATGGGCGCTGTGGCAATGGCTTCCTGTTCTAGCCATTCCATAAACAGGTTGGCCAGTACTGGGGACACCGGGCTACCCATAGCTGTCCCAAACTTCTGCTGGTAAATATCCCCTCGGAAACTAAAATAAGTGGTTGTGACAATAAAAGATAAAAGTTCTATGATGTCCTCAACCTCTAGGTTCGTCCGGCTCTTCAGCTCTTATCCCCTTGGAGCCTTCTTCTGATGATGTCAAGTGTCTCTAGGATAGAGGTATTAGTAAAAAGGGAAACAACGTCATGGGACAAGAACATCGCATCTTCATCTACTAATATAGTGGACATTTCTTCTGCTAAGTGCTTTGAGTTCTTAATGTGGTGTGTAGACTTTCCCACCAAAGGTGCTAACAGGTCTGCCAAGCTTAAGGCCCTGGACGTATTGTACCCTATTGAACCTTTATAATCAACTATGGGCCGCAAAGGGTTTCCTGGCTTGTGTATTTTCAGTGTACAGTGCATTCTCGGTACGTTTTCCGCCGCAGTTTATGATACAAATGTTTATACTGTTCTTCTGTAATCTTACTACTTTCCTTCAGCCGTTTTAAAATGGCAACTAGCTTTCTGTTGTATTTCTATGTCGGGTCCATATGTTTTCTCGCCCGCTAGCATCCCACTCACCTTTTCTTCATAGTCTGTTCTGTCCATGGAACCTCCAGGAAGCCGTGCGTTCGCATGTAATCAGATCCGGGGAACGAGAGTTCCAAGTGACGCGAGACCGCCATCTTGAAAAGTTTGACCGACTCAAACAAGCTAATTCACGACAACCAGCAACAAGATCTGGACGTGGATTTGTCCGGAACACAGCTAAAGAAATGGGTAGTGAACATTTCATGCTAGCGGACGAGAAAACGTATGAAAAACTACGTATGGACCCGACACAAATACAACAGAAAGCTAGTTGCCATTTTAAAACGGCTTAAGGAAAGTAGTAAGATTACAGAATTACAAACATTTGTATCCTACAGCGGAAAACGTACCGAGAATGTACTGTACACTGAAAATACACAAGCCAGGAAACCATTTGCGGCCGATAGTTGATTATACAGGTTCGATAGGGTACAATACGTCCAGGGCCTTGGCAGACCTGTTAGCACCTTTGGTGGGAAAGTCTACACACCACATTAAGAACTCAAAGCACTTAGCAGAAGAAATGTCCACTATATTAGTAGATGAAGATGCGATGTTCTTGTCCCATGACGTTGTTTCCCTTTTTACTAATACCCCTATCCCAGAGACACTTGGCATCATCAGAAGAAGGCTCCAAGGGGATAAGAGCTGAAGAGCCGGACGAACATAGAGGTTGAGGACATCTTAGAACTTTTATCTTTTATTGTCACAACCACTTATTTCAGTTTCCGAGGGGATATTTACCAGCAGAGGTGTGGGACAGCTATGGGTAGCCCGGTGTACCCAGTACTGGCCAACCTGTTTATGGAATGGCTAGAACAGGAAGCCATTGCCACAGCGCCCATCACATGTAGACCCAAGCTATGGAAAAGGTATGTGGATGACGTGATGGAGATAGTGAAGAAGGGTGTCAGTCAAGATCTCACAGACCACCTAAACAACATAGATCCCACGGGAAGTATACAGTTCACACATGAGGAGGAGAAGGACAACACATTACCTTTCCTGGATACTCTCCTGGTACGAAAGGGGGATGGCACAGTCAAGCTTCTGGTGTACAGAAAAAGCACACATACGGACCAGTACCTTAACTTCCAGTCCCACCACCCTCTGCATCAGAAACTTGGAGTCATCCGCACCTTAATGAACCGGTGTAACTCGGTGGTAACAGAGGAGGAGGACAAGGAAAGAGAAACACAGCACATCAAGAGAGCCCTCATCCGTTGCGGCTACCCACAATGGACCTTTCAGAAAGTGGAACAAAAGAAGAGGCCAAAATAGACAGAGAAGAACAAGAAGGAAGGGGAGAAAACTAAGGCCATGGTGATTATCCCGTATGTAAAAGGAGTCACTGAACCATTAGAAAGGGTCTTTAGGAAACACCAGGTAACCACAGCAGTAAAGCCAAAAACAACATTGAGAAACTTGCTTGTCCACCCCAAGGACAAGATGGGGGACCACGTAAAAACGGATTGCGTATACAAAATCTGTGATGAAGTGTACATTGGAGAGACTGGAAGGACCTTTGGCAAAAAATTGGAAGAACATAGAAAAGAAGCAGACAACATTGAAGCCATAAGATACACACGATCCCAGAAACTACAAGCACAAAAAGAAGAGTAAAAATCATGTTGCCAGAAACAATTGTGTGATAGACTGGGAGGGAGCCAGGGTCATAGATAGGGGGGACAACAGGAGAATCCGATGGATCAAAGAAGCAGTCTGGATAAGAAAATTAACCCCAGTGATGAACCGGGACGAGAGGGGATACAAGCTCAGCCAAAGTAGATTGCATTCTCGCCGCAAAAGCGCCACCTACTTTGGCGATATATAGCGGCGAGTTGCAGAACTCCAGTCAGAAGCTCTGAGGAAGGTGTCTGATAGACATCGAAACGCATTAACTAAGCAGTTGAGAAGTCAACCTTACTGGTTGTGTAAGAAGAAAATTCTATACCCTAGGCCTTTCATTCTGCTTTTCGATCGTCCCCACCGGTGTGCTGTCAACCTACTCTAAAATTCACCCCATTTCCTGTGTCTGTCTTTTTGACCTGTTATTCTGCCTGATAATCTTCCCCTCCCACGTGGTGTCAACCTAATCTGTCCAGAAGAAAACAGACACGCGAATCCACGGATTAGCCACCATAATATTACTTACACACCCGGTAATAATTATTAAGTAGTAAAGATTAGTTGCTCAATTTATATTAACATGGTAGCTAAACTTTGTTTTAAAAAGTATACACATTGAATTTTTCATCTGACCTATATTACAACCCTCTCAACCATTCATAATCCTGAGTAAAATGTAGTAGGTCACTCGGTGCATGATTTTATGCGTGGGAAGAAACTTTCAGCAATCAACCTTAAAGATAACCTTTGCAATATATTAATCTTTCTATGAAATTATTGTACTAGATTTCTCTAAAGGCGACCAGGATAAATCATAGAAAGGAAACGAGATTAATAGCAATGGAAGGCGGTAAAAGCTTTCAGTGGAAAATTATCTTCGTCGTTTTCTAGTTTCCCAAAGGAATGCTAATCAATGGGACTCATTACTTTAATCCATAAAGAACTTGCAATCAAAGAGGCAATTTCGTATCAAGGTACGGAGCACAAAGTGTTTTGAAGAAACAATTGTTAATTCTAATGCAAAAACCAATCAGCCACTTGTTCTTTTATATCATTTTGAACCACGTCAGTATATCAAACATGACTGACTAAATTTATGATGAGGCCCAAACTTATTAAAATATACTTGACTCTGTGATATGGTTTTTGTTACAATATGGAAAGGGATATTACGAATAAAGAGTAACAAACCTGAGCCTACATAGTCCTTGTACAAAGACAAAACTTACTCTAAAAGAAATCTTGTCATAAAACTATCAAAGCATGCCGAAAGGTTTCATTTCGTGAACAGTTTTAAGTAAATTTCACGTGTACCTGGATATCACATTTAAGCTAATTGTATGAAGTTTATGTTTTTATATAAAACATAGTTTTATGTTTTTATATAAAACGGTAATTATAGTGTAAAACAGTGTACGTTTTGTGCCCGTAGCTTTTGTGGGGGGGGGGAGTAAGTTCGAAGATATTAGCACGAATAAGATAGCAAAGGAGTCTATTTTCACGTTGACTTATTATGTTGCCTCAGGCATCTGATAGGCGTACCGCTTCCCACAGAAAGCTGTGATATTTAGCTCACGTTATCGATCTAACTACTGGGTCACTTAGCCGAGCCTGTGTGCACATGATTGGTGGTACATAAATGCACACGCTACCGCTAGCGACATTTCACGCGGCTGAGAATTACTCTCCGTGTGCACTTAGGGCCATTTCAGCTAGCTTGGCTGGTTATTACTTAATGGCAATATGCGCTATACTCGTGCACATACATGTGATAAGCATATGTTTGGAAGGTTGATGGAACGACTTAACAGGTTTCTTGGAAAGGATGTGGCCAGATTCCAGCCAGGAAAGGATGTTGATCAATTCTGTTTACGTCACCCCCCCCCCTCAATTTCGTTTACGCCCCCCTCTAGGTTTAGGAGGGAGAGGGGCTAACGCTAACTGGTCCCAAATGATAACTCGATCTAGCAATATCTAAGCTTTACCTATTTCTTTGCCCTTTTTTGTCTCCATCCGTTCATCATTTAGAAGATCACAAAAAGACTACGTTTCTAGAAAGATCACAAACCCACTCATTTTTAGAACGTGGGACTATGCATTATCCTCTACCTTCAAAGAAGACGTCAAACCTCATAATAACCAGCGTATGAGTAGAAGTTTAAGTTTTTCCAGACAGTAGTTGTCTGTGTCCTATCATTGTATTGTACCGTAAAGTATCTTTGACTCTGTAAATGCAATTAGCCTTCGAGCTTCGGGTATGGAAATAGTATTTTAAAAAGATATGTAATTTTTTTCTATTTATGCATTTGAATTATGAATACCGTACAAGGTTGAGAGCGCATAGAGAACATAAGTACCTGGTGCAGGCTTTCCAGGAATGCCGTCCCGTCATGCCACGGGGCAGGTGCGCCCAGGTCACAGGTCAGTCCCGCGGGGGTGTCCCAACTCTCGCGCTTCACGAGACCATCGAGAGATCGCGCGATCACCGTCACTGCGTCATACACATACGCAGATCTGAGCTGAGATATACAAATAATTATGCATTTAGTACCTCACAGCGACAGAAATATGTTATTATGGCTTTTGATTAAGTAAAGTAATCAAGATGAAATTACCTAACGATGAACATGCCACCATAATGCACCATGCCATATCAAACCGAATCATGCCATATCATGAATTCCACCTTTTACGCTACTTCATACATAACACAACACAACATCCACACCATAGCTTAGCATACCACATTATACCATTACAAGATACTACTAGTAAGTCATCATACGATGAGTTTGTGCCGATACAAAAGAAACTTTTGGCTAAATTGACAATTTGGAGGTCAAGTTACCCTGTCAATGTACATTTATATTTATATATATATATATATATATATATATATATATATATATATATATATATATATATATATATATATATATATATATATATAGTTAAGCAACTCAAGTAGCTGAAATGCTGTGTATATATGAATGGTTATACTAACTTTAAGATATTTGCTTTTTATTTTAGCATGTGTAGAAAATGATTTCAATGTTTTGCAGTTAATTTCTGTAATATCACAACATCAATTTAGCCTTTGGGCCGCGACCGTTGTGATATAGTTGACGTCATAATAAACCATTCTACATCCGCTGACCTGTGACCTGTGTTCCTCGGCTGTGCCTGAAGAGTTGGTTCCCCGCCGCCCCTCCCTGTGGATGGCCGTCACGATGCCTCGCGTCACGTTCATACGGTGTAGGTCATCAGCTGTGATCTCCTGGGAAGGTTATCATAGAAAACATTATCATCATCATCATTATTATCATCATCATCGATAGACCGCATATTGGTTGGGGTTATACCGCACTTTACAACACCTTTCATTAGATTAATACAGTTCGCCAGGCCTCTATCTTGGTGATGATGTAATTATATAAATCACCATGTGGCTAATACGACACAGGGGTGCGCCAGGCCTCTGTCTGGATATTTTAAAGTGAATCACCAACTCCAGACAGTTGTATCATAGAAAACAAGAATTCGAGATTTGAGACTTCCGGGAAATATATGCAATCCTCTGCTTCCTAAATTTCTTCATAACATTTTGCTCTCGGCTAGACCGATTTTTTTATTCCAACATTCATCACAAGACATGGCGACGGCACACTCAAGTTTTTTACAACTTATTTTTATGCCGCAACCAATGCAGAAAAAACGCATGAACGGACAACAGACACACTCATTTTAACTTTCATAGAATTCACTTTAGTAATAATTGAGGAAATTCGTGTAAAGTGCATTTCCCGATCGGTGCCAAGGCAGGATTGTAACTCTTGGTTCCGAGCCGAACGCTCTGTCGTTAAGCCACACGACCCAACAGCCCAACAGTATTAAAGCAATATTTCTGTACTGAAATGAAAAACTTTAAAACACATGCGGCAGTTTTTGTGCAGTTTTATGGGCGGGCTTGATGGGCCTAATAAACACACAATGGCGTGCTTTACAGTTGGTAGAACTGTAAAACCTACTTTGTATGTATGGAGTGACTGCAGCTGCGTTTGCCTTTAAAGTACTGAAGAGTTCAATCCACGTCCTTAAAGAGATTGTGTATTGACTTTCTTTACGTAACGGATCTTTACAGGTTAATTACAAAGAATAGGCGACGGGCCAAGAGGTTAACCTTGTTGACATTGAACGATCACCATGTCCCACATGGCTTTCGATTTACTTCTAAGTGTCAAATTGATTAAGGGATTGTAAAAGGACAACCATCCATTTTGATGGCCGCATGTCGTTAACCGTACTTAGCTGGCATGATTTGTCTCTTTAAAGGTTTACTGAATGATGTTTTGCAATGTAGCCTGATGCCCATTCACAGGTTCCATGTCAAGTTTTCACTTTCTTCAACTCAAATACATACAAACACCATTTTTTGCAAACAGCAATGAATGTCGACAACACTCGACAACATGGCGGCCCTGCATTACTGACCTGGCTACTGGACACGTGACCCGCTACGTAATCGGTCACGTAATCAACTCTTGAAATTACCTAATTAACTTTCAGTGTGAGATTTACCTCATTCACAACTATCCAGTGATCCGAATGACTGATGACGCCCATCTTCGTCGCCTATAGGTATATGGTAAATTGGATTTAAAATCAAGAAAAATTGATATACTAACTACTACAAACTGATATAACGTTACATGTATACAGGCCAGTGCGATGAAAAGCCATGGATACAAAGCATTAGTATTAAAACTCTTTATTTTCCCTACTTTCAAGTACTTAACATGAAATAAAACTAGAAAGGTAACATTTGAAAGGCATAAGGTATGATTTGTTTAACTTCGCATATGGTCTGCTCTGTTAATTCTTACTCAAAACATTCATATATGTGGAGACAGCAGGCTAAATCCTTCCTGTTATGAAATTGCAACATGATATAACCCAATACTAGTTACCATGGTAACAAACACAACATTGGTTCAGGTCAGAGGTCACTGTTTGGGGAAGAAGAATAAAGAATCTGAGCAAAAACAATGTTTTCTTTGGGTAAACATAAATGTTATTACTCTGTTATGGTTACATTGTTTGCCTTGTCTACAGTGCTTTAGTATGTCTTACCTCTGTAACTAGATCCACGATAACACTCGGGCGGCACAGGAGCACCACGTTCTTCAGACTGATGTCATTATCTCTCACGTGATCTATGAAAGACCTGATTGGACGAAAGTAGACGGAAGCGAGACGCCTCCAGTTAGAATTACTGTTCTGTTTCTCAATAATTACGCAAAAACTGAACAATATAATAATGATATAAGATTTATGACAATTTTTTGTTTCATGTTGTGTTAGGTTCTAATACTGAAATATATAAAATGAGGCTATTCATTCTAAGTCGTGATTTGCACACCATTCTTATCACAGGTTTCTTGCTTTATCATAAATCTAAACGTACCCGCTGGAGACCTGTACTCTTTGGAAGTTCAGAATCAGAACGTCTAGGGATCCTCTCTGTCCTCTGTCCAGGATGTTCTGTATTCGGTTAAAATCTGGAGAGAAAAAAGATAACAATGTGATTAAATACAGTTTATAGTAAAGTGGATTCATTCCTAAAACTAACTGACGTCTACAAATGTATCACACCACAGTCGCCCCTCAGTAAGACATCGCATAGTCACAATGTAGTAAAATTTTAATGTTTTTTCTAGCTTGCAATATCATTTTAGCATATGATAGTTACATATGACTACGCAATGATATTGTGTATCAATATTATGTAAAGCTTATAATCAATATTAATATGATGATACTTATATATTCAATTTAAAAAGAACATAATGTAATGAAATTAGTTGTATGCAGTCATATAGTCTTTACACTCAGTTAAATCTCTTCACTGACTAGAGCTTGTCCCAACTTGGGAGAATAGATGTTGTTCCAGTAAACCTAAACTTAATTCAGTTCCTAGAAGTTCAGTCTTGACTCAACAAGTTCTTGAAAACCGTATATTTTCCACGTTGCAATCCAGGATTTCAATGAAGATACTAAACATACATGGTTCCGTGTGTATAAATATGCATGTTTTTTCAGGACATTCTTCACATTGCACTCTTTGTAGGCATATCTCTATTATCATAACTGCAAACTCCTACTGCACCATAACAAGTATGACCGTAACAGACCATTGCTACCGCAATAACTACCTCTCAGTATGTAACACGTTAACTGGCCTATGACGCTTAGGGGCATTTTCCCCAAACGAATACCATATAATTACCCATCAATCACCCACATGCCATACCCAATACCCCATGTCATATATAACCCTCACCATAGATTTTACAATGGCTTTCAGATCTATCGCGGGATCCCATGTGATTTATCTACATGTGATCGACCTTTGGTAAAAGTGGAGGACTAAGAGAAATGTTAGGAGGAGACTTAATAACGAAGGTGTGCACTGACTAGATAACAGACATGTCACAGTGGTAGGATACATCCTCTGGACGTTCTGAATCGAAAGTTAGCCATATGTTCGTTTTAAAGCGGTGGTTTTTATTGACAACACCATTCTAGTTTCCGATGCGTTCAGCCGTGGAGAGAGAGTAGTCCCTAAACGTGCCCTACGGTCCTATCTCTAGCGCGCATCGCTCCTCGTGAGGGTTGCGGTAATAGAAGTTTTAGATCACGCAGTCCATGGGGGAGGTATCTAGCGGCTGTCCACGAAATTCTGCCTTAAAGGGGCATTGTGTAACATTTTGGCACCAGGAAATTAAATGCAAATGCTCGTGGCCTATGGGGGGGGGGGTCGGACCGGCAAAAACAGGTCTTCGTAGGTCGAGGGTTGTCTTACGAAAGTGGTCTGTAGACGAAGTTTGACTGTATTTTAATTGAAAAGCATCTTCGTTTGATTGAAGTTTCAACGTATTTGTGCAATTGTCTCACGCTTCTGACATCTATGGTTGGCGCTTAAACAGCCCAGATGAGGCGCACTAGGTGTTTCCAGCTTTTCAACATACTCCTGTAAGATCATATTTTGGCACCTTCACTTTTGAATGTAACTTATTTTCAATGAAGTATGGTTGATTCAACTTACTTTATAAAGTAACCAGAAATGTGACTTTTTGTATCACCTTCATGTTACACAAGGCAGCTTTAACAACATAAACATTCGAAACCTTCATTCTCTACTTCTGTACTCAATAAGATTTTTTGCAACATTGACACTGTTGCGTGAAAAAAAGAAAGATATTGTGTGCCGAAAAAATAGTCAAATTGATAAAATCTAGCTTTTAGACACCCCCCCCCCTTTCGCCAAATACCATCAACTTTTAAGCGTGCGGTTGCCGTGATATTTTGACCTTGGTGTTCAATGTTGACGTATTTAGTACTCTCTAACAGTGACCCGTAAATTTTGAGGTCGCACTTCCCTAGATACTAAAGTAAGCTAGGATAAGAACACTCTGTTTCAGTATGCAGAACAATCGCTCAACACAGCATTAAGCTCATAGATAGACCTAGGGAAAATGTGTTTCTAATTTTCATCCGGAATGCAAGACGTTGGTGTTAGGGAATCTCTCATTTTTGTTAAAAAGAATTTTACTAAATAGATTCAATAGATAGTCTAAAAATGTAAAGATAAAATGCACCAGGCTGTCCCTGGTACCCGCGTCCCTCCGTTTGCTTTTTGGGAATATTTCACCAGATTTACTGAAAACAAATTCTGAAAATTCTCAATGAATTTGATACAAAGATAAGATAATTTCAGAGGGCTTCAATTTAGATGCTAGATCGGAAATTCTATGGCCTTGCGAGAAATGGACCCCGAAAAAGGCTACGATATGCAGGAGTGAACGGGAGGTTGGGCCATGGTTGGCTGGTGGTTGGCTGCTGGTCGGGAGTAGGTCGGGGCATGGTTAACAGTTAACTCAAATTCAACTCAAACTTAATTCTACGCCATTTGTGTGAGCATAGTTTTCTAGTACTGTTTTCTATCGTACAGTATATTTGACTCTGTAAAGTCTTAGCCTTCGAGCATAATTTTGCAATTAAAAACGTATTATTTTAAAAGATTTTACAGAAAAATATATCCAGAGGTTTGCTCACGTAAGCTACATGAACCTACTCCTGCCTGTTCTTTCTCCTAGGTCATGTTTAAGATTCAGCTCGCGCTCCTCCTTAAGTTCAAGCATGCCTTAGTCCGGGTTAGAATAGAGGGCTGCCAATATACAATTACCGCAGCAGAATTAAGTGTGCTCCGCCTCGGCTTTCGCACAAAGGCCCTTAACGGCGTTCTGAAGCTCTAGCCGCCACACTTTGTGTTATTGTAATAAAAATTTATGACATAGGATCTTTATCCGGGCAGGAATTGAACTTGGACATTTGTATGAGAAGGTAGTTTTTCATACTCCAGTCGTGTGTCCGTGTGTGTGGTGTAGGAATGATATGGGCATAATTTAAAGACAATCGTTGAGTTTGGACATAACACCTTCATTTGTATGGCTGTACCGAGGAGACAAACTTTTACCAAATTATTTGTCCCTTATTGTCATGCATAGCGCTAGAGTTATATGCATCTCATCTTGAATAAGATTTTTCATCTTTGACTGTCAATTCTTTTAAGAGCCTTTTAATTTTGCAAACCAGAAATCCTATACCACATAATTTGAAAAGGAAATATGATACACGTGAAACAGCCACTTGTACAGTAATTGTAATGAATATAATATCATAATAGACTTCAGGATATACGTTAGACTTTTCGAATAACTTTTTGCAAATCAATAGTGATCTCCCCCGTGGTTTAGCTAACTGTAAATGGATTTCGTGCCATATTGAATACCGTTCCGAGGTTTCCTCAAAACAAGTTACGTGTCTTATAATGGAAGGATAACACGGTGTGTGGTTAGAGCGGATGGAGGCATTTATTTATAACTACTCTGCCCTTACGTACGTTATTAAGCTTGTTGAGTACACTTTTCGGCAACAGACGGCTTTTGAATACAAAAGCCATCTAAGCAATAGGTATATGTTCTCAAAGAACGTTTTACACAAGCCTTGATGCTATGTTCTGAATTGGCTGTATGTTCACTGTGGCGTTAATTTTCAACATTTAAGTGAATTGATTGCGGTGAATTAAGACCTGGAAGTCTGATTTGTAAGGTGTTTAATAGAATCAGAAGGGTGTTTTTGTTTAAACGTCTTTCTTTGTCCGTTGAATAATGCCTATCAAATCTTACTGTTTTCTAGAATTGTTTTATGGAGTACACAGTCAACAGTTGGGTTCTAATCACCAGCAACTGGCATTACTGCGCATATGTAGTTTTTGAAACAATATGGCGAGCTACAAAAAAAAGATCATAATTATAACTTACGAGACAAAATGTCAAGTCTAATTTTCCCAAGAAAGCATTGGTTTGTATAAGCATAGGAGGCATATAACTGTTAGTTCCTATATGACACATAGTTGTATAATTAGGTTCATGGATCCCGAAATGCGCAATGTGGGTAGTATGCCAAATTTAGGTATCTTTTTAAATGTCTCAAGCCTTTCAACTTTGAGATATTACCCACAATGCACCGCGACGCACATGCGCAGTTGGGACCATGAGCCCACTCATAGCAGCGTTCTTGGTGTGCAATTTTCTATGTAAGTGAAGCTTCACAAACCTCCTTGATCATCGTAAAAGAAGACAACTTTCCTCCACTTCAGTTGCGCGATCAAGTCTGATAGGGCAGAGTCTATCTCTCTTCCGTGGGGAGACGTGCTGAGGGCAAACCTTTGGGCGGAAATGACGTCACAACGTTCATCCGGGACATGAATGTGAGGGACGTGGAAGGCTGCGCAGACGGACTGTAAAGAAAGAGCGTTGACGCATGACGTCACACTGATGACAGCGACGGGATCACCCGCCAATAGATTACAACCTGAAACAAGAAATGGAAGTCAACGTTTCTGTGTGTTCTTTCCACTAAAAGAAACTTATGGATGGCATAAGCGCGCGCATTAATTTTCGCCTGAAATTTTGTGCCCTTTGACAGTGGTACATATGGTCAACCTGCCAAAAATGGGCATGTTTGTTACCATGTCGGAACGTAGATGACAGATAGATATGAAGAGAGGAGTCAAGACAAGGCTCTGATTTAATGTTTTGTTTTTCCCTTGTTGCAATGATGTATTCTTATATGTTTTTTATGTGATGGTGGTTGTGTATATGTGATGTTCACACTACATTAAAACCATTTGTACAATGATTAAATACTTTTATTTTTCAAAGTTTATTCAATGAGAAATGGTTATAGTAGGTAGTAATCTTAGCACAATATATAGGTATCATCTATTGTTTTATGATGTCCTATTAAAAATACAGAATTCTTGTTTTTCTGGCCCACCTTCTGCCGTTACTTGCTGTGGCACTGAGAATGAACGTGTGCATCGTATGCAAGCTCACAATGTTCATTATTCATAGCAAGAAGAAAACACACCTCTATTAAAAGAGGTTAACGTTTTATAAGATCTATCTACAATTCTCTCTATCAGTCTTTCATACAAACCTTCTTTTGTTGCAGAGAAGGTGTCCTGACTCGTAAGATAGAGGAAGTCGTATTTTACACGGACTGTGGGGAGGATGTTCTTGTCAGAGTTGATCTTTTCCACCGCCAACCGCAAGGCGTTCTCTTCTTCCGAGTTCTTCTCTTCAAACACTGCACCTTTGAAAAGTACGAGACATTTTGGCAAAGGCATGGCTGAGCAAAACAAGGTACAAAAGTTTGGAAACTTTGTTAAGAAAGTTTCCCACTATAAAAACGGGCTTTGCTAATGGTGATGAATGCCGCATATGTCTGAATACGGTTGCTTTAGGCGAAACACTTTACCTGTATTTTCTGTATTAATCCCTATTGCTAAATCTCAAATTTTGTGAACTGAGCCCTGCATATGTTAATTTAGTTGTTATTTTTTTAGCTATTACGTGATTATGTCCAAGGTAAGTCTGAGAATAGTTACGTAAACAACAGCAATGCATGTCAGGTAAGTTTCCTAAGGCATCGGATGTCAAACGCAACTACTACCATTCTTAACTGATATTTACATCCATTGTAAAAACGACGACGTATCATGCATTGTGTGAGGGATTTCGACTTAAGTGTTTTAAGAGCAGGTGTGTTTAGGTTAACCCTTAATGGCCTCTATAAATCCTGCTCCATGATTAAACTTCTCTCGCGGTGAAAAACTGCCCTCACGTGTCTCATGATTTGTCACATAATGTTACTAATGACATAGACTGGACTTAAATCACCGGGGCAGGGGAACCATTCGGTATTTAACCTCAGCACCCGCCTATTCACAACGACACATTCGAGAATAAACAGTAATCCTTTAATTGCAAACCCTTAAACATGCACTTAAATTATGAAACAAAGTGCTGTATCTTCATGTGTTAACTTTGAGGCCCTAAACTGTTCAAAAAGGACATTTACTACTTTATGAAGTATCTATTACTTCGGAGGAACCCATTCTATTATCTTCATTCAATCTCACAAGATCTTTGGACAATCTAAATGCCAAGATAATTTCTATGTCATCTGTACGTTAGAATGTTGTTTTTTTTTAAGGAACAAAAAAAATCCCAACCAGTTGAATTTTCAAATGACACAGGCTTCTTGCTATAGACACTGTACATCATGTTGATTGCAAGTATTAGAAAGCGTTAACTGTGCATTTATGCTTGCGTCGTCTTCGTTAAAATAGATTAAAACTCATGACGTACTGCCCAGCTTTAGCATTACCTTCATACATTCGCTTCCCGTTGGAATAAATTGATCCCCATTTAATATAATGCGCCTGCGGGGTCAGTTAATTTGGGACACCGAGGCGGGCATCCTTCAGGGTCACCCACTAAAGACTTTAAGATTGTCCCAAGGCGCTACCAGCAAATCTATGCCAAATAGAGCGGTGCTTATTCATATTCCACTTGAGACTAAAGCAAAGCCCCTCTCACACATTCAGAACCATTCCCTGACCACTGAACAACCAAGGTTGGCTGAAGTTCTGGAGCGGTCTTACCAGATTAAGGCCACGACAACTTTCAACACGAATTGAGTCGAATTTGAGTTAAATTTGAGTCCAAATTGTCTAGCAACCTCGCCCGACCACCGACCAACCATGGCTGAACCTGCCGTCCACCGTCCCAACCTACTCCAAACCATGGTTGGGAGGAGTTCGGCCATGTCCAGGAGGCCATCTTCAGCTATGTGTGACAGAAGCTTTAAAGGCAAAGTATTGTGCAACTGGGTCATGGCAATTCGAACATTTTAACATACATAACTAAGACGAAACTGGCGAAACTGAAGTTACTTCCATCTACCTCACTGCCATCTATAAATATATCACATCGTGTATCTGAGATAAGCCAGGTAAATGTTACTCCAATCTATAAATGGTCATGTCACTAATGATCCCATGCACCCATTGAACTATAGATCCTCACTGTGTGAGCAATACACAGACTTACTAGGACTGGTAAACGATGTTCAAAGCTGTGATTGATTCACTAAAGGCTTATCTTAGTTTTCCACACTCCGATACGCCTTACCGCTGGGTTAAAACACTTTGGGTATTTTCTGACCTTCTTTTCCTTGAACTTAAAAGAAGCGTTGACGCGCTTCGCGCCAGGAGACAGTTAATGTTTTACTGACGATAAGCTTGTCTGAGTGTCTTCTTTTGTTGAACAGTCTGGCTTAGTAGTAGAAATATCTTTCTATGAGCAAGGTGAACATGTCATTCCATGTCTCAAAACTGTTAATATTTTAGTATTCAGTATATTTCAAGGGGGATATCTTAATCAAGCTGTTAACACTTACCGTAGGGCCACTAAAATTTCAGATGTCAATAATATTAGAATGGAAGTGTAATTAAACATAAAAACCTAAAAATGTTAATGTTTAAACCAAAATTACTGACTTTTCCAAAAACTGCCTGTCAGAAACCCGTTGCCATAGCAACACAAAAATTCATTTTACTTATCTTATCAAAATGAAATTGTTGCCAGATACATTTTAGGAAAAGTCTCCAAATTTGGTGGTTCTAGCGCAAGCCGTTCAGGCACTAAAGATGATGAAAATTGGCAATGGGCTTCAAAAGCCCCCCTCCCGTCTGAACTGGTGTTGATCAAAAGTATAAAACTTCATCATAGAATGTACCAACACATGACAATTTTGGCTAACGTTATAATATACTTACTTGCAGGATATATAAATTATTACTTGTTACATCATGAAAAATAAATATGAAAAATCAGTCAGAAAGTATTTACCTATACGCACTTCCTCGACCACAGCTGATATTCCTTTCAACGGAAATGACGTCATCACCATGCAAAATATGGTAATCCGTGGGACCAAGGACGCCGATGCCATTGTTGATGACAAGAAACCATTTGCCTCTCTAGTCATCATCGATTAAGATGCATCAAACCTAAAAGGAAAAGATGGAGACAAGTAAGTAAATCTGGCAGATTGAGAATACAAAGATACCAATGCCTATGAAAAAATCTTATGTTTCCTGTTTCAGTCCTGAAAGAATTAGGGTCGGTGTGAAATATGTATTTATGTAAATATTTCTATTGAAACATTAATAATGTTTTGCTACGTTAATTGGATGTAATTATAAAAAAATGTTATCCTTCCTTTAATCAATGCAAATCATTTATATGGTATACAGTTGTGCCTATATAATGAACATATATATATATATTATTAATTACATTCAGTTAGATAATTACAATAAGTAGAAGTCCTTTGCTACCCGTCTTTCTACACTTTAGGTGCGGTGAGCAAAAGGGTTTCGAAAGGCCTTCAGAGCAGATTCTATTTGATGGTATCGACACCACAGTCTGGTGACCTTTCAAAGGTTTTGCTCCTATAATGACGTCGAACCACCTTTCTTTGGAGACGCAGCCTCCTTGATTGTGATCTTTAGTTTGGATTAGAATGCGGAGAGGTATTCTCTCTACCTACTTAAAGGAAAGGGCACCGTTACGTCGAACGCGCTAAGAATGACTAAAAGGTAATAAGTAGTGAATTAAAGGGAACCCATCACCCCCTTGGTTGTACTGAGTAAAGTCATTACCACCCACGCTTGAACTAATTAAAAGCATAGAAGGGTACGGTTAGTTTGATAATCACGGGGTGCATTTCCACAGATTCGATTGTAGAAAGAAACGGCATAAAGTTTTCTATACGGCAGAACTTTCCACCAATAGATGAAGTTCTGTATCAATAACCAAGATGATGTATACAATACTCGAGTAAACGTAATGCGTTGCATGGAATACGCTATGAGCTATGCGTTGATAAATATCTTTAATAAAGATCTGCAATAGGAGAAATTATACTGATGTAACTAGTGATGAAAAGCATTTTAAAGGTGACATTGTATCGTTAGAACGCAAATGATGTGTAGATTAATATTGTATCACTAGCATGTACAACCAAGGTGCAAACATAGTTATGAATGTAATGCGCTGCATTATACATACGATAGATATCTACAATAAGGAACACTAACAAAGGACATTTGTACTGATGCAAGTGATAAAGAGCATACTCAAAACAGCGTCTGATAGTCGGAACGTACCAAGACAAAGCCCTTTGAGCATATTTATTATGCCATTACAAGTCGGAACGACGCTTTTGATTGCCAATTGCTTTCAGATCACAAGAAACATGACGTCAATGTATCAACTCAAGGCAAAGGCAATACCTCTGGTCCAGTGTGTAATTACCTGTTATGTAAGAGCCGTGCGCGAGTAAGCAAGCACCAAGTTATAATGTAGTCACCGTATGTCCAGTCACGAATGCAATGAAGGTCTTGCGAGGTGATTTAGTTTGAACGAAGTGCTGGCCATAAAATATCCCCCAGATTACTTGGTTTAAGGTCACAGCCTATTGCAGCACCGTAGGAAAACGCCAGGAAACCATTTTTAAACTTAACCTTCTCTTACACAACCTTTACTCACCTACTATGGTAAAAATCATTAAGATCCATTAACAACTTCTGGAGTCATGCTGTTGACATGCATACATACCACAGCCAATCAATGACACAATCAAAAGAATATTTTTATACTAACATTCTTAAACTCTTAAAGAAGAAACTTTTATTCAATAAATTGGGTTCATGCGAGGATGCAAGTCGTTTTTATTATTTCTATGGACCATTGTTGGATTGTGTCAGAATTAAGTCTCGCTGCGATCGTTATTGGAGTCCCGCTGTGAAAATCCATGGAAATTAAACCTACAATCTGATCACAGTATGCTTATTAGTCAACAATTACCGCATTGGGAAGGTCAGGGTCAACTTGGCATGTAACCGGAAGACATACAAGCACCCCACTGGAACAAGGATTATTTAAATGTTGCAACTTTGGCAGAATAGCGGATGAATTGCCATTTTGTAATAGAATGTGCATTATATGCCAAAGAGAGAAACGAACTGTATAGATTTGTATAAAACCTATTTCATACACTTATGTACAGTAGACGTATTTTTAATGCAACTTGGCAGACTTTCCATCTGTTCTTTTATCCGTACTATGACCAAAACGGGGGGGGGGGTGAAAATATCTCATGATGGTTAGTGTTTTTTCTATCTCTTAACTGGAACGAAACCTGAGTGTGTTCGGGGGTCAAACCTGATTCAAATTTAACTCAAATGTGAATAGAAAGATAGTTGTAGCCTATCTGACCAAATTGCTCCCCAACTTCAACTAACCATGTTTGTCTGTCTGTTTGGTTGGTTGGTTGGTTGGTTGGTTAGTTGACTGGATGGTTGGTTGGTTGGTTGGTTGGTTAGTTGGTTGGTTGAATCGTATGATTATTCTGTGCCAAGCCCTTGTCGAACCTTCCCCCGACCACCAACCAACCAACCAACCAAGACGGCGATTTGATAGTCTTTCCGCTTGATCCTTATTACTCTACCTTAAGAAAATTCCAGGAGAAAATGAAACGGAAAGGACAAGCTGTTATTAAGGTAGCCCGTATGCGCGGGGGCACTTATTGTCGTAGAATGAGGTCAGAAAGGTACTTTGAAGTACATCACACCATATCTAGAGGAATCAAAGATGCTCTACGTGCATACGAAATGCCTTTTGCAAGGTGGATCGGGCAAAGGTGAACTCCCTAAGCAGAGGACCAACGCATCTCCAAAAACACTAATTATAACAATATTGGTTCACCCATACGGCGTGTAAAATAATTATCATACGTCTTCTAATGATTGACATGCCAATGCATAATGTTTACCATTAAAAATCGATTCATTAACAATATATTTGCGTGCAGAAAAAAACAAATATATCATTTGACGATGTCCCATGGGCCTTACCGTTATCCATCAATTGTTGCGTACCAAAGCATATAAAGTTTCTAATCTACAAAGCTGCACGTACAATTATATGCTGACATCTGCATATAGAGCATACATGACACTTGATTTTATTATCTCTTTTACAATAAATGAAGGTACATCCCTGTCGCTTACAGTAGAGGTAACAAAACGTTTAAGTCAGAAACTCACACATCAGTATTCGTGATATTAAAAGAATGTGATTAATTGCACTTTATTGGAATGCAATTATCCACCATTGTGTCAATGTCACTGTCAACGTCATACACATACCAAGGCATTTCCCTTGCGTACGTTGCAACGTCAAAACGTAATTCTAATTCTACGACGGAGAATGCTTTAATGAATAGTTGTTTCCGAACGCAAAATAATATTGATTTTTGCTGTATTTTATTTTCACAATTTACTGCAGTTCGTTCCAACACTTTGCGAGAGGAACATATGCTTGAAACATCACCGTGCATAACGATTGCCATAAAATTAATGAAACGTCAAAATACATGATATTCCCGCTGCATTTAGAGCCTAGTTCACATACACGCCCCTCGATACATCTTGTTGATTATATCAGCGTCATACATGTAAAGCTTGCGTTGAGCTAAAGCAATCAGACATATTACCAATACCGAAATTACATTTTGTAAGGCTATATTTAAAACCAATTTGATATACTGCAAAATGTATGGGTGCACATAATAGCTCCCTTACAGGTTATTTATCTCAAACCACCGCTCAAGGGAGGTAGTTAATCTTCATTACTTGCGATCGAAGAATAACTGACCTCTAATTTCTTTAACGTATTCTCGGCGGACCGTCTAATTTTCAGCATCGACTGGTTAGGCATTTATCACATAAGAACCAGAAAGGGCAGCCCATATTGATGTACATACCATGCTGCCCCACTTGTTGGTGCTCCTAGATTCAGATTTAAGATTCAAGATGTATTTGTCGCACTTTCGCAGTGACAGTCACTGAATTTTAGACAATTTACAGTTAAAATACACGTTATACGTTAATCTATAAAACTATTGATACATTGCGAAGAGATACTAAAAACACGTAGTACTGGGTAAATTGTTGTACAGCAGACCCCAGGGCTATAATTTTGACATTAGGTATAGGACGCTTACAAGACAACTATCAAGGTTTTTAAGTCCATAATTATTGAGCAGCTGGTACATGAACGATATGGGTGACTTCTTATATCTATTACTATTACGTACTTTTTGGGCAGTCTAGCATAGTGCATCTTGGAGCAAGCACAATGGGTGATTTACTTTACGACACATACGAGCACAGTTATTTCCACTGCGAGCGATAACAGCAGTTTTTAATCATTAGGGCCTACATACATCAGTAAACTTTGACAGATTTGCTCCTGTACAAAAATTGGCCATGTTAAGGAACATAAAATTTATTGTGCATGGTTAGCAAATAGACTGTAGCTGCCCTTTAAATGTAATATATTTTAGATCTCATAGCAGCAAAATAATATCAAGTTTTACAATCTAGAATATAAAAATAAATGCTAGGCAAATAACTCATTGATGATAACTCAGCAGCAGCATGCATGGAAGAAGCCCAATGGCATATTCATCTACAGCTCTGCTGTTAATTCAGCCAAATGAGTATTGTAAAAATTGAAAAAATAGAATCATCTTTAGGTTATTTTCATGAGTTGAGCTGTAACATATACTCAATGATATACGGCATTCATCTCCAAGCAGATCATACGGTGACAAGGCACTATCCATTGGACAGAGGAGTGTCCATTTGCCACCAAAGCTAAAGGATACTGTCTGGCTAATGGATACTGTCTGGCCAATTTGATACTGTCTTCTGTGGCCACCAAAAGATCTTCTTGGAGACTATACGGCTGGTCGTTACTTTAATAGTCATCTTAAAATCAGTACATATGTATTTCCATCATATATAACACCTTCACATCCGCCTACCACCCACACGTAGCTATACATAAGGCCCTAGATAGAAGGGTTTTGACGAGTTGAAATATTCAAGAAGTCAAGTCTTGCGTCAAA